AGGCAACTTGCGGATCAGGAGCTCAGTCGACTTCTGGTAACGACGGATCTCACGAAGAGCGACGGTACCGGGCCTGTAACGATGAGGTTTCTTGACACCTCCGGTGGCCGGGGCGGACTTGCGGGCAGCCTTGGTGGCGAGCTGCTTACGCGGAGCCTTTCCTCCGGTGGATTTACGAGCGGTCTGCTTAGTACGAGCCATTGCGGACGAATGCGCGCCAAACACTCAGTGTCCGGAGTCGGACTCATGGGTCCTTATATAGAGGAGAGAGAGCGATCCAGGCCCCAGATGGCGTCTCGTCGCGCCACCTGGGAGGACGCCTCAGTACTAGGGAAGAATGTACAACGGTTAAAACCTGGAAAATGGCTCCTGATCGCGATAAGAGACAGCGAACAGATTATTTGGCTCTATCAAAGGAAAGCAGCATCAATGCACATGAAATCTGTCGGGTTAGGAATCAGTTCTAGATGAAGGACCCAGCTGGGAGGAGACACGCGACTAGCGGGGTTTCTACGGAGCTTTCTGAGCTGCCGATGTTCGAGACCTAGCGAATATCCGGCCATCAGGAAATGTGATGGAAGGAACTTCGGCCTTCTCCCAATCATTCCATAAATATCTTTTTGCGTCCACTGAGCAAGAGATCGACCCCTGGAAAAATTCTGCGCCATGTACGGATCCTGCCGGCAGCCACATCAGAGCTCGGGATGAGCTCCCGAGAGCGCTTTGTGGATTTTTGTCCTCTGACTCTTGACGTCCCTCTTCTCTGCTAACATCGATCCGATATAATTGAGGCTTCCAGCGCCCACCTTGGATCCCGAATAGAAGCCGATACGGGAGTTTGGTTAATGAGCCCAAACCACGGGCACAATACGAACGCTGAGCCTGCTGAGCGCGCTTGTTCGAGCGAGCATCCCCTCGCCGTGTAAGAGGCGGAGCTGGTGCTCCGGACGAGTATGGAAGCCTGTTTGGCCAGTCAGTCTCAATTCCTCATTCGCATAGAGAATCATGTCTGGTCGCGGCAAAGGAGGAAAAGGTCTTGGAAAGGGTGGCGCCAAGCGTCATCGCAAAGTCTTGCGTGACAACATCCAGGGTATCACCAAGCCCGCCATTCGTCGTTTGGCACGTCGTGGTGGAGTCAAACGTATTTCTGGTTTGATCTACGAAGAGACCCGTGGTGTCCTCAAGGTTTTCCTTGAGAACGTCATCCGTGACGCTGTCACCTACACCGAGCACGCCAAGAGGAAGACCGTCACCGCCATGGACGTCGTCTACGCTCTCAAGAGACAAGGACGTACCCTCTACGGTTTCGGAGGTTAATTCTCATCAGACACTTCGTCGGAAAAAAACGGCCCTTTTAAGGGCCACCAAACTCTGGGAGATCATCACCTGAGGCTAAAGCCGCATGGGTCGCTCACCCAATGAGCACTACTTTTTGCAAATCGGCCATCTCTCTGTAGAGCTCCAAAGTTTCTATTCCTAAGGGTCTGATCCTTGACTATGTACTAAGTTCCGGAGAGATGATTGAGGAGCTTTGCATGCAAACTTAGATAGACTGTTTCCCCCCAATCTCCGGATCTTCCACCGTTCGGCATACCTTAGGCCCGCCTTGCCGTCCAAATATCCGGTAATCATCTCCGGACCTGACGAGTTCCGACGCCTCCTTGAAAAGCCTGAGTACATCGCACGAATCAGAGCGGAATATGCGGAAAAATAGGCAAGAAGATTCATGACTCTTTTCTCCGACAAGGCGTCATGCCCATCGGCTTCATTGGCGCTCGCGAGGCACGCAAGAAGCTTGAAGAAGCCCCGAAAAATGCTCAGAATGCGGGACAAGTCGTAAATTGCAACATACATCAAGACCTTGGTACCATCGGCCTATGCTTATAGGCACGGAAATATGCACTGCATATAAAGTTCACTCCTACTCATCATCGCATGATTTCACCCCCGAACTAGTTCTTCGACTCTAATCCCTTCGGTGGGGTAGCATTATCGAGAGGTCGAGGCTGACCGAAATGGATGGAAATGGGGTACGGCAGAAGGCGCCGCCCGGATGCAAGCATCTCGATAAATCGAGCTCAATTGATGGTCCGATCGTGAAATTAAAAATTCATTGCCAGTGCTACGACCGAGGCTAAAGCCGCATGGGTCGCTCACCCAATGAGCACTACTTTTTGCAAATCGGCCATCTCTCTGTAGAGCTCCAAAGTTTCTATTCCTAGGGCAGGGTTTCCCAACCTTTCTTCAGGGAACCCCGGAGGGTTCCGAAAAGCTTCTCCCGGAACCCCTCAAGGGTTCCGCGAATCCTCCCGCGGAACCCTCAATTCATCATTCATCGTTTCTTTCACACTACATCGCGGTTTCGCATAGAAGAAATGACACCCGTGGCACGTTTCAATGAGGACATAACTTATTCTGTTGTGCGGAGCCCTTGGCTCATGTATTTACACATATGTATCTCACGACGCGTGAGGATTTATATTAGGGAATCAATGCGAACGCTGGTGTGGCCTTTTTTTCGAAATTTCCCCGAAATCCGGCAACCTGTCAGACAGTTGGACTCTCGTATCGTTCTCCGAATCCAAGCGACTTCTGTATTTGGTCTTAGTTGCCGTGTAAACCGAGAATCCCGTCTCACACCGATAAGTGCTGACAAAAGGCACCACGACGCGCAGTGCTCCTTTGTGATGGATAGATTTTCACGATTCCACGGGTCACCAAATTCCGAACGAGAATCTCTTCGATAATGTCCTCTCTGTTCGAAAACTGCATTCGAAATCCCGCGCTTGGGGGCCGTGTCCTACGGTGGTTCGTTTGTCATCTGGAGCGGCACTTTTCAGGAACATTGCATTCGGCTTGAAAGTTTCATGAATTATTGCATTAATGCTTGATAATCGAACCGAGTATCTGTCCGCTGGAGCTCTGGGGATTCGCTTACGGAACCCAAGGGTTCCGCAAAAAACTTCGCCACGGAACCCCGAAAATCTCGTGGCGGAACCCTAGGGTTCCGCGGAACCCCTGTTGGGAAACCCTTTCCTAGGGAACTGATCCTTGACTCTGTACTAAGTTCCGGAGAGATGATTGAGGAGCTCTGCATGCAAACTTAGATAGACTGTTTTCCCCGAATCTCCGGATCTTCCACCGTTCGGCACACCTTTGGCCCGCCGCGCCGTCCAAATATCCGGTAATCATCTCCTGGCTCATCTCCGGACCTGACGAGTTCCGACGCCTCCTTAAAAAGCCTGAGTACATCGCACGAAACAGAGCGGAATATGCGGAAAAATAGGCAAGAAGATTTATGACTCTTTTCCCCGACAAGGCGTCATTCCCATCGGCTTCATTGGCGCTCGCGAGGCACGCAAGAAGCTTGAAGAAGCCCCGAAAAATGCTCAAAATGCGGGACAAGTCGTAAATTGCAACATACATCAAGACCTTGGTACCATCGGCCTATGCTTATGGGCACGGAAATATGCACTGCATATAACGTTCAGTCCTACTCATCATCATTGCATGATTTCACCCCCGAACTAGTTCTTCGAATCTAATCCCTTCGGTGGGGTAGCATTATCGAGAGGTCGAGGCTGACCGAAATGGATGGAAATGGGATACGGCAGAAGGCGCCGCCCGGATGCAAGCATCTCGATAAATCGAGCTCAATTCATGGTCCGATCGTGAAATTAAAAATTCATTGCCAGTGCTGCGACCGAGGCGCGCTTGGGCCAATCAGCTCCTTTTTTTAGGAGTTCATTATTTCCGCTGATTCTTCTCTCTTCGTCTGTTGGGTGGATATTCCGGAAGTTCTCTTAGTTTCCTCCAGGTGTAGCATTTCTCCCTGGGGCAGGACTATGGAGATTTGCGTTTCGGGAAACAATTTTTCCCTCGGACTATTCCCTCCGTCCCTCGCGAACCGAAATTGGGACACAGGGAGTGAACCGAAATTGGGACACCACGCGGCACGTCGGCACGACGCCCCACTGCCCCCTGCTCTACGGGAGATTCTCGCGCTCGGATCAGCCCTTGTCATGAGATCTTCGTCGTAAACTTCGCGCTTCTAGCCGGATAGGTCTTTCTGCTCCTCGGTCTCTGGTGCTGTGAGCACTGCAGGCGCTCGTTCCGGCGGGCGAAGCCAGTGTACCAGCAGCAACGATCTTGAAGGCGTCCCCTCATCTCGCCTGGGTGCTCGTTCGCCAGCCAGCGCGACATCTAGCGAGCGAACAAGCGGACGGCTGAGAATTCAGCGACTCAGCTCTCGAGTTGGTGACATTTCAGAGGAAGTTGGGATTTCGCCCTAATCAGTTTCCGTTATCAGGTGAGTACTCGACGAACTCTGGCCTCCTTTGAGTGAGAACGAAGCTGTAATGAGGTCGGGCCACGGGGACAATGTCACGGGGCCTGGTCTTCGTGTTCCGTCCAACGGTCTGCGCCGCGCCATGAACCGAGGACTACAGCTTCTGTTTTGAGCCCGGGGCTCGGGAAGGGGTGCTATTCGGTCAGATCGGTGACTGGTTACGTTCTAACATTCGTCATCATCGGTGACTGGTTACGTTCTAACATTCGTCATCATCGGTGATCCGTGGCCCGTGAGTTTTCAGAATCACATTGGGCTCTAGTAGGTTTGCTGAACCAAGACGAAGCCACCCTACGAGCGAGCGCTGAAGAAGAGGCACTTGGGAATTCCCTCTCCGCGCAATATCTGCTCGAGACCGGTCCCGAAGGAGATGACTACCTTCCTTGAGTCTCACAATCCACACAGAAGGACCGCTATCCACCCGATAGCAGGATCCGATACATTCCAGCGGATGACGAGACATGAGATGCCGTAGGGTGCAACGTATCAAAGTCCCGAAAACAATAAGTGTTTCAAGAATGAGATCCCAACCCGAAGTCATGTGATTTCAGCCCCATCGTCGAGCTCGTGTTCGCGCATTCATCTCATCGGTCGACTGCCGTTCGCGGATATTAAAACTAGCCGGAGTAGGATTACAATCACCTGAAAAACGATGGAGAAAGCAAGCAGAGCTATCCGACGGTGAGTGTGTGGATGGAATTCAGAGAGAGATGAATCACTTGAAAAGCTTGTCCGGCCCCCAGTGGTATATCCATATCATCATGATCAGAGCCGACTACATTCCTCGATCGATGATTTGATTTGTGGAATATTGCGTCGCGCTGATTCGGAGATGACGCACGATGCACATTCGTCGTGGGGCGCGTGACGTGGGTTCGAGTTTGTACGGGTGATACAGATTCCAGCTGCAGGGGCTCCCGCAGGTCTGGGGCACGTGCGGGGCTTCAAGAGAGGGAAACAAGGAGAGACCTCCGGAGAAACTCTCAGGAACGTCTCGGGTCTTGGAGCCTTGGGATTCCCTACTCAAAAACCATTCCCCACTTTTCGCTGAAGTACCTCTCGTACCCTGTAAGTCACGAATATGCTCAAGACTTCTTCTTGCAGGAGCGGCATCCGTCTCAAGTCTATGAATCCAAAACACAAGGAACTCGCCCTTATCATTTCCGGGATGAGGGATATCCGGAGCGGATTGAGAAACTTCCAGAATGCTCAGACTTTGAGTGAGTATGAGGCAACCTGCTCATGACGCATTGTGACCACTCCATTGCTCGGGTTGAGGAGTCCGTGAAAGGAACACACGAGCTCTGAATTCCCAAGCCGAGAAACATGGACATTTTTGTCGATGATTCTAAGGCAACAGAGTATGAATATTTTCCTCTTCGATCTTCCAGTGATGCAGGATATGGTGGTGTGGTCACGAACTGATGAAAATCGCGCGATCCAGGACGTGATGGAAAGAATCAATGAGCTGAATTTTCTTTGGGCAGATTCTCTTCAACATTTCTTTGGTACCAAGGATTTCGCAGTGTATCAAGGGAACTCATTGAAATTCCCTTTCGGAAAATATTTAAAGTCGATCGATTAGAACCCTCACCGTATACTTCGATCAACAGAAACGCTGAGGACCTTCAGACAACAATGCGAAATGATTCTCGAAGGCGAGAAAGTTGTTGACACAGCAAGAGCCGATCTCGCGCGAGCTGAGCGGAAAGAGCGCAAAATCAAGACGAACATCAAGAAAATCTCAAAAGTGAGTTTTTATTTCGTCTCCAACGCGGGATCTGATCGAGGCGGATTAGACCAGAGCCAAGGCGAACTCATGCACTTTCCTTCCCCTTGAAGAAAGCTCCATCCGAGAAAATGATGACCATCGAGATGGAGTTGTCCAATGCAGAACGTGCCAAAGACTTGGCTCATTTCGAAGCTGTGCAAAAAGTCCAAGAGAATGAAGTCTGTAAAATGATTCGACTCAAAGAAGGATTGACGAAACTCACCGAGAGCTACATAGAACTGGCGCACAAAATGGCGATTGTGTTCGATGCTCAGAAAGACGTCGTCCAGGCTATACCCGAGGTAAACGACACGGCGATCCATGAACTCAAGTACATGGGTGGCACCTCAACCAAGCTGGCCGTCGAAGAGGCGAAGAATCGAATCGAGAAATACCGTACACTGAAGTTCAAACTATTGCCCCAAGGAATCGGTGAGTTGAGACGGAGCGGAACGAACTGACGGAGACAGCCTATTTCGTGGACGATGTTCCATTTCATCTTGCGATATATCTCTCACGGGGATGAACGGAACACAAGAACTAAGTCTTTTTCTCTTTCTCATACTCTTCGAAGCTGAACTCCCGCCACCTTATAGTCTCGGCTCCCCAGCTCCGGAATCAAGACCGACATCCAAACCAGAAGGAGTCTCGTACGGAGCTCAAGGGAGCGGGTTCGAGCCCACAGTGCCGCCCTACGAGGAGCGAGAAGCCTTCGAGGCGAATTCTTCAAGCGACGATGGTTAGAACTTCCTGCAAATCCACGGTAAATCTTGGACCAGGATAGAGTCGGCGTCATGGAGGAACTTTGCCGCTCACAGAGATAGTGGACTCAATTGAGCGAGAAAATCATCCGGAAGCTCTGCTGTTCATTCGAAGTTGACGCCGAATACTCCGCGAAGGTCACGGGGGGATGCCCGATGAAGACGCGACGATCGCGGAAGCGGCCCCCTGAGGCACGTCTCGTGTGGAAGTTTTTTTCGCGCGAGTGCACAAGCAACACCATGACTCGCGAAATCTCCAATCAGAGGGACTGACTCGACGAGTGGTCAAGCGGACAATGCTGTGCCTCATTGAAACATGACACTGACGTCTGCTCAGTTCACAGGAGGTCGGGGATCAGCCGAACCTCAGCGTCTCGCCGCGATGCGAATGGTGCGGGACTCCGTCACAGATCATGTGATCTTCTGCGGCACAGCGATGATCTCTGTTCAAAGCAAAGCATCTGCCTTGTCCCTGATCACTCACGGAGGGCCAACGTCTCGTACTGCGCGTGTCGCGTCGAGCGAAGGCGATAAACGTACTTCTGCTCGTATTGTCATCCATTGATATTCGCTGTGTCTTCAATCTTCCACGCCTGGTGGTCTCTTATATTTCTCTTAATAATACTCCGAGGGGAAGCCTAGGAGGATGTCAAACCTGTGAGCGGATGGTTTGACATTTCTTGATGGCGGATGGAACTCGACATCTTCGGCTTCTACCGTTGGCAAAGGGAGGAGAGCCGGGACGTGGCTCTGATGCAGAACGAATTTTTTGCTCCCGAGTCACGAGCTCCTCAGATCCGTTTGTACTCTTGGGAATATCCCGACTGGCGACGTGAGCCTTCGACAGGCTTCCTCCCGTCCATGTTGCTCCCTCTTACTCGATGGATCAACCGATCCCTGTGATTGATAAGATGAGGGCTCCCTCTTAGGCGACCGTGCCAGTCAGCTGTCTCCGTTCTCGCGCGAGCTGTGATGGACAACGGCCTCGCCCTGATAAGGAGTTCCGAGTGGGGGAAAAGCGAGGGGTTCTTGCTGATGGTGTATGCGGTGGGGTAGAGCAATTTTCAGTCACGAGACAACGTCAACGACTGAGTCCGTTTTGTCGAAAAACGAGGAATAAGTTGATCCATCGGGACTCGTCGATGGAGAAATACCAAGACCTTCAAAGCGTCCTACGTCGCGCTTGACGAGTGAAGCTTCGAGCATCATCAGAGGCACTGCGCTGGACTGAATCACCGCGGGCGGGTGATCAAGCGATCGGGCTGGTTCCGAATAGCGTCTGAGTTCCTTGCCGGACACGTCGCGCGTCGATCGGCTGGCCAATGCTGTCACTCGCCGACGGCGGCACTCTCATCCGCAATGATTGCACTCCTCCTCGTGGATACGACGGACTACACCGTGCAAAAGCACCGCGGATACTAAAATCATTCTTCGCATGGACATGGAGGAATTTTCCCATGGAAGGGATAAGCTGTGAAGAGAAGTCGTCCACTCGACAGATTTCCGCGAACACTCCATCGATGGGAATCGTTCCGGAGGAGTAGAGTACCGGCCGAAATGCTTCAGATACCTTTGGATACATTCTTCACTGCTTTGGAGAACCATTTATTTGCTTTCATTTGTACAAATTCACTTTGCAAAGGGAGGGATCCACCCTTCTCAGTTAGCGGCCTACTTAGCTCGGAAGCGCGCAGCGTGCTCGAAAACTCAGCCCATGTGAGCGGATTTTCGGAAAGCATGGAATCAGTCAGTCATTCGAGAGCGACTATAGGAATGGAGACACCATATCAGGACGATCAAGGTCACGAGAATTTTCTGTAAGTTCTGCACGTATAGTTGATCGTGATTCGGGTGATATCGCATACAAGAGCCGAACCACGGAACCGGATAATTATTCGACTATTGCGGGCCAAGTTAGAAGTCTACACCTCTCGAGGCTTTGAGGTTTTGATTACCTACCTCCAATTAAAAATATCGGCTCAACTATGAACAAATCCATGTTCCACAAGTGAGGCGCTCGTGATTCACAGGGGAGGTTGATAAGATTCTTCTTTATTCATACTCCAGGCGCTATCTACTCGCACGGAGCGTTCTCACTTAAGCTTTTGAACAACAACAGCACCCATTAGTTTCTCTTCTTCTACGGTTTTCTGCCCATCTTCCAGTTCCCGGTTCGGGAACGTAGTCATTAGAATAAAAGTAGACGCCGCATACTGAGGCCTCGCTGTCACGATGTATTGCCTGGGAGAGTGGAAGCGATCAATCAGCTATCGGAAGCCTCAGAGAATACCCTAGAGTGTAGAGATAGAAATATGTGGTCATTTTGGATGCTCCATCCGTAGCCTAAGACTCACCTCAGATCGTTGACGGTATTGGAATGGTTCACCTTGGCGATGAGACGGCTGCCGTCCGCCAGACGGATCTGGACGTTGGTCGCTGGCTTGCTCGGATCGAATTTTATCGCTTGGGACGCCTGCTCCTCGCAGGCTTTCGGATCCTCTGGAGGTGATCCTGAAGGCACAACTGGCGGTTCGATATTACCCAGGCGATGTCCTTCGCCTACGAACGCAACGACCACTTTCTTTGGAGCCACGTATTCTTCGTGATGGCGATCTCTGAGATCGACATTGACCTCACCGCCCTGGGCTAAGCTGACCAGTTCGGCTGGGATTACGCTTTTCTTGATCGAATCGATGAACTCTTGGCCTTCCGGTGTATCGTATCGCCGGAGAGGTCCATCGTCGATTGAGAACCCATTGCTCCAGAGGTTGACCGTCATCGATCTCAGTGGGGACACGCGACTCGTTGTCGCACGGGATGCACTCTCCGGCGTGTCCTCGGTGCCGAGCCGGAAGCCGGTCCCAGAGAAAGCCGGCGCGGCTCGAGATTCCGGTTCGGCATCGGCGGCGGTGGCTCCATGCGCCTTCGCCTGGTCGAAAACGCTCTGCACCAAGTCGTCGGCGTTGATCTTCTTCCGTCCGGGCGGACCGACAACCTGTTGTCCACTGTGCTCAGAGCCTCCGGCGAAGAATCGCTGACCTTCTTCATCACTGTCAGACCCGTCGTTCTTGTTCAGATCGCGGAATGTGAACATTCTGAGAGTGAAAACACGTAATTTCAGTATTGCGAAGCGAAGAAGAAAACGGAACCCGAGGGAGAGGCTTCAAGTTGTCACGAACATCACTCACCGAGACATTGCGGAAGGTTCGCCGGATGCTTTTTCAACCGGATCGGCTTTCGGAAAAGGCGGTATGGGGGGAGGTTCAGCACTCGGAGAGTCCCCGGCAGCGGAGCCAGCTGGAGGGTCTTCGTAAAACGAGGATAGAGCCAACTGCAAGATCACAATTATGACAACACCGCCCGCATCTAAGAAGTATCGATCTCGAATGACAATATTATGGTCGGGAGAGAAGAGAGGAATATCGATTCCGTCGTCGTTGTGTCGTTGTCATACACGAACGATGAGATTTCCCCGCTCTGGTTTCATATGAAAAAAAATTCCGGAGGGGACACGTCACGCTCTTGAACCCCTTCTCATATTCATCGTCATCGTGACCGGTAGTCGCGAACAGAGCGGAATCAGGCATGCAATGCACGTGAAGGCTTCCGCAGCTGCGGCTCGGAATACGCGTCCGTTCGTTTGGCGATGAGGATTAGACTCCGGGTAGAATAGATAGTTCGAGAAGTTCGCTCAAGAGCCGCTCGTGTGTGTCATCAGGAGAAATTGGGGAAGTCCGGTTTCGGAAACACAAAAAAAAGCGGAAAAAGTCGAGTCATCGTACGTTGCGGGGTGTTCAGTCGGCGACTCCGCGAAAGAGCCAACGGAAGAAGCACTCTAATTAACGAACCTCCAAATCCCAGTTGGCTGAGTCCAAACAGAACTTCGCACGATTACTTTCCACACCGGTAACGTCTATGAAGTATTGAATCAGCTCGTCCACTGCTGAGCTGTTTGAAGACATCATGTTGTTCGTTTCCGATTCGAGCAGACGACACGGAGCGAGGACATTTGACACGCTGACGGGATAGAGAGTCTATTCTTGGATTGCTGTGAAGCGGGCTCCCTCATTCGCTGGCCTGCAAAGCATGATCTGCTCGCGCGTCAAATCGCATTTCCGGAACACCCTCCAAATGAGGAAGCACATATGGATTCGACCTATTCCCTTGGTCCCGAAGAGAAGCATCTACTTTCGTGATCATTAGTCGGATGGAGGTTCCCAGGTTCCAACGGATTGAACACCACGGCAATGACGTCCGCTCACCGAGGCGCAAAGCCGAATCCTGTTGATCCGGATCTTGTCGAAAGAGTCTTACTCCCAGGAGAATCCAGGAAGTTCCAGTAGACAGCTCTCACTCAGTCAGTGAATGAATCTCGGGGCTGGCTCACTTCTACGTAGGCCGGGTTCGCGTCGCGCCGGGAAAGACGCGGCATAGACCTTTGGTGATTGATTTGAGCGCTCACCTGGCTAGGATCTCGCCGCTCCACATCTTTCAATATCTCTTTGCTCTGGATCCTCACATTCAGGACCAATGATTGGATTTAGAGCTCCGCGTTCGAACATGGGTGCACATATTTAGCAGCCTCCCTGGAAAGCCGGTTTGAGACGCTCCGCGCCGTAGCACCGCGCGGATGAGCTTGGGTCACAACGCGTGGTTGAGGCAAGGTTCCGGTCTCTCTGGATAGGTGTCATGACTTCTTCAGTCCTTTGGACGGCGATCGAGAGGTCCGAACTCCGAATTTCCCATCGAGGGTCGATTCGCTCCACCCCTCTCCCCGAAGCCTTCTTCCCCCTTCCCTCTCCCATCGGTATGAAAACATTGGCTAACAACAACAGAATGTGGCGGCGAGTTTCCAATGATGAGCTCGGAATATCCGTGGCTTAATCAATTTCCTGGACAGTGACCGTGGAAGTCAGTTCCCACCAGGGAATCTCTCGCTGAGTTTCATCGACTTCACCAAAACATGAGTAACATCTACATTCAAGAGCCGCCGACAAACGGCAAGGCGAGTGTTCCATTTTTGCTGGATCTGTCATCCAATAAGCTCTGACTCCAGCGTTGGCGGATCTCGGAGAGGAAAGATCCGAAACAGCATCCTCGACGATTATATACGTCGTCCTAAAGTTCACTTCTTCCCCGCCAGGTCATCATTCACACGACAGTTGGAGCCATCGATATCGAGCTATGGACGAAAGAAGCGCCGAAAGCCTGCCGGAACTTCGTTCAATTAGCTTTGGAAGGCTACTACGAAGGAACTATCTTCCATCGAGTGATCAAAGGGATGTGCGTTCAAGGCGGCGACCCCACGGGAACGGGGGAAGGCGGCGAAAGCATCTACGGGAAACCTTTCAAGGTTCGTTGGTCGATCGGCCCTAGTATTCGAATCCTCGACTTCCCTCATTGTCTCGAATCCTAACTGACCTCATGTGGGACCTTATGGCGAGGGATTTCCCCTCGCTGACATCCAGTCACCCGGTAGTTATTCCCCCTTTTCCATCCATGTGTTTTTGACTCCAGGATGAGATCCATTCGAGATTGAGATTCGTCAGGCGCGGCCTGGTAGCCATGGCTTCAGGCGGGAAAAACGATAACACGTCTCAGTTCTTCTTCACCTTCGGTCCCACGCCGCATCTCCAGGGGAAGCACACAATTTTCGGAAAGGTTCGTATCGCAAGTCGCGGTGGAGATTACTGATCACTTGAACACATTCTCGTTGAGGCCCCACCCTCGGGCCTTGCACAGAAAATATTTTCACTTCCCAAAGGTCGCCGGTGATACCATATACAACATGATGAAGCTCGAAGAAGGTGATGTGGACGAGGATGATCGACCCGAGTTCCCGCAGAAAATCACCGGCGTCGAGGTCGTTGATAATCCTTTCCCGGATGTCGTACCACGCAAAAAACTCATCGAGAAGTCCGAGAACGACTCGAAACCTAAGAAAGAAGCCGGCAGAAAGTGAGTCGAGCCCGGAGGTGGAGTGGTTCAATATACGATTTCGAGTACCAAAATTATGCATTTGCCCCTAGCAGGAACCTCTTCGTTCGGTATTGATCTGCCCATAGCGCTGTTACACTTTTGAAAATTTTCCGTATCCTTATTTGCAGGGACTTCAAGCTGTTGTCGTTCGGGGATGAGGCCGAAGAGGAAGACGACGAGCTGTCTGAAATCAACGAAAAACAGTTCCGGGGGAAAAGTAAAAGCAGTCACGATCTTCTGAAAGACGACAAAACCCTCAGTTCGGAGGCTGCCGTCGAGGTGACATCGCAGAAAGATGGCTCCACGAGCGGTGAGATTGATGAGAAATTCCTTCTGCTCTTGCAAGCTCTACCTACCGGCTCGACTTCTAGTGGACCGGAATCTCGCCATGATCGGTGTGGGAGATCAATAATCGAAATTCAAAACTTATTCCAGCCAAAGACGGTATAAAGGGTAAAGTTGATCGCATCAGGGAGAAGCTCGAAAGCAGAGGCTCAAAATCCGAGTCCGGCAAAGACAAAGCAGGCACGAAGTCGAAGTCCGCGAAAGATTCCGATTGCAGCAGCGGAGATGAGAGAGATATTCACGTGGATAATTATTTCGAGGAGGAGAGGAAGCGGAAGCGGCAAAAAGAAGCGTGAGTGAGAGGAAGTCGCATATTCTGATTGGGGTTGCACCAAATCTACCGCGCGCTTGTAATGTAGTTTTTTCTGACCTTTCTGAATGCGGGCCGGACCTAAAATCTCCTATCCAGAGCAACAAGTGTGTTTCGTTTTCAGTGAAGAGCACCGTAAAGAGTATAAGCAGCTGAGGAAAGAAATGAAAGGAGACACCCAGCAGAAAAATGCCAAAACCGAGGCCACAGATGATCCGAACTCCTCCAAGGACCCGGGTAAGACTTAACGCCCGATCACCTCTGTTTTACGTCGTCTGCTCATACCGGCGTTTGACGAAATCATAGCTTTGGACGGCGCCTCTTGTCGGATAGGTGAATGAGTGAATGATTTGCTTCATTTCGGTAGATATCGCAAGAAACGACATGTTGGCCTCCTTCTACGCTGAACAGAGTGCGTACAGCAAAACTACGACTGTAAATTTGAAGAAAGCTGGGCAATCTAGTCGGGAAGCGCAGACGCTGGCGATGCTCAAGAAGTTCAGGGCTCGTGCCGAAAAATCAAAAGAAGGAGCGTCCGACGACGCAGAAGATTGGTATGTGAGATTCCTGCTCGAAAGATTCTATCCTCGCCCATACCACATTCCTCTGATTCATGTTCCCCCCAGGCTCAATCATGAACTTCGCTTCGAGGATCAGGGTCCAATCCTTGCTAAAGATGCCTCGACGCAGAAAGAGGACATGTACGATATCACCGATCCACGACATCCACTGAACGCGCGGAAAAGGCAGAAGCCAGGACACAGTGATCGACATCGAAGCCGAAGATGAGATCCTCTCGGCTGAGAGGACTAGAGAGGATTTCCTCAGCGTACCATATGTATATTAGCGGGAAGCGGGAAAAAAATACACTCCTCCCAAAGACCGGAGCTTTGCACTCATTTCGTAGCGGATCCTGGCGGCTTTCAAGAATCAGCTCAGACGTTTGCGGAGTCTACGTATGGGACATCACCTCTCCGGGTACACCCCGACTCCCTCGGAAAGAAGAAGAGCATAAATCCGGTGACGTTCGCAGAATCATGAACTTGACTTCGCATTCGTGGCCCGGGGAAGTTCCAGCGATTCTTGTCCATTTAAACCACCCGCGCGGACCTTGGTCTCACGATTGCATGACTGCATCTTTTTGCACCGAAGAACGAGATCCATTGAATTACTCGCTCTATTTCTCAAGATGTTGATTTGAGGTTTTATTTAGTTTTCGAGGAACATCCGATTCCGTTTCTTGAACCGACAACATCGGAACACTTCTCTAGCACCCACATAGAATCTGCATCTAAAACAGATAAGAGGAAGATACAGAATTCGATCACCGCAAGTCCGCGGCGCCGCGCTGTAGGGACATTTTCTAGAAGCAAACGCAATTATAAGATCGCGGATCCACGAAGGTATCTGCCATCACCTCAATCCCTGAGGACAAAACCTTGCCCTATCACAGACTTATTCACAGTGCAGATCACGCTTCTTTTTTTTTAATCCATTTGGTACTTGTACACGTCGATCCCGACCGATATTCACAGGCCGATGAATTCTTCGCGAAGAGAACACCAGTCGCTTCGGCAGCTTCCGCAACGCTGTAATCATCATCGGTTCGAATAAGATCCACCCTCGAACAAGTGAACTAACAACTTGAGTATACTTAACAACGATGGGAGCACGGTCGCCGCCATTGTGAAATAAAGGTACATCGAATACGGGGTATATTAACGCTTCTCCTCTAATACAAACTGACTGAGCAGCAATCGCGGAGAAAAACGATTTACATTAGTCCGAAAACCGGTCTCTCGATTCTCACGCGAAGGCTGTTCTCGCATAACAACGGTAACAGTACTCGAGCATCGAGCTCATAGTCGTAGAATAGTCATTTTTACGTGATACATCATTTTCGTATCATATGCTTCCGGATGTTCGTTCCCGAATCCTGGAAGAATCTCCAGGAAAAGGATTGTGTACACTTCACTTCCGTGTTGAGTTATATACAGTCGATTTTCCTAAAGGTCGAACGCCTCCTCATTCCCTCAAACGGACGTCACCGTACAGTAGGTCGCGGGTCCGAGCACGTGCTTGTCAAGGTCGGAGAACAGGTCCTTCTGTCGCTCGCTTTGTTCATTGACCCTTTTTCGATCGGCGCTGGTGATCGTTGCGAATCTCTTGGTATTCCGCAACCGCCGGCGAGGCTGGGGCGTGTGAGCTTGACGGTCTTCTGCAGAATCGGAAAATCTTAGGACGCGAGCCCATTGAAGAGATCTCCACGGACTAAGACGAGCTCAACGAATACTCTTTCAGAGAATTTTCTACTCACCGCTGTACAAATTATCGAAGCTGCGACTGGGTGAATTAGAGTAGAGGAAAGGCTCTTTGTGGATGGACCAATGTCTGGAAACCTCATTTGAGCCTGGATAAATCAGTAATCGCTTTAGATACCAGGGACAATAGCTGAACATTGGGTAGCTCTATGAATTCGAGTCGGACTCATGCTCCGGCATCCGAGGAATTTGTGGCCTGAGGCTTTTTCCCTATATACTCACTCGAGCTGTATCCAGAACTGGACGAGGAACAGGATTGAGAAACGTTGAGGGTGTTTCGTTGGTAGAAAAGTATGTAAGCATCTTTGGTGATCAAATAACTTTCGTCCGTTACTGTGGTCACGGAGGCATCATCATAGTGGTACCACAAACCGTTCACGGGATTCTTGCAAAAAGCTGGAAATATCGAATCTGTCAGGACCCTGTCACCCGGATGTATTTCTCGCCACCTGTATGAGGGGACATATAATCCCAATTGGCAAGAGAAAAGAAGCTCACCAGTGTAGTGACCGCCTTGCATTGTACCGTGGTGATTGCAGACGGCATAGAGATCGTATACGAGGTTGTTCGGATTTCGAGGATCGACGTTTCTCAACGGAGACCTCTGTGACGAATTATTCCACGGCGACCACGTTGACACGGTGTCCTTCTCGCGTTCTCTTGAGAGATCAGGACTTTCACCACGCTGAGCCGTGAATCGAGATAGATCGAGGCCTGACGTTGGAAAGTCGACCAGGAAGTAAATTTTCGATCTCTCCTGATTCACTTGCTTGAAGCGCTTCAGATGGATAACCAAAATATCTGGGCTTGTCCATAAGTCCAGCTTGGACAGGACCTGTTGCCGGCGCTCGCATGTCGGACAGAGCCAGGCCTCTTCGGCCTCCAGCTGAAATCAAGATTTGTCCCACATGAGAACCTGGTCCCCGACGAGGAATAGTGATCTCCTTGCTCGAATACGGAACGAGAGAACAGAGCTCGATTCCGAAACAATGGCTCTTCACCCGTACGCAAACTCATAACGAACGTCAACCGAAGTCGTAAAAATGCAGTATTGCCGCCGCCTATCCCGAGTTCGGAATCTGACGTCCCTGATAACTACTCACCAATTCCTCGCTGAAATAGGCGTTGAGGCAATCGTTGAGGTCCACGGGCACGGTTGTTTCACCGTCAAGCTCATCGAGACCTCCAAGGCTCTCGTCACGGAGGGGACCCGGGGGTTCGAGCACCTTGGAGACGATCAACTCGTCCCGCCACTCGACGAGAAGGCGGAGGTGCTTCGCGATCGACGGATACTGTACTTTGCTCACAGCCGTTATATGCTCTACGGGATCCGTATAGAGAGGTAGATCATCGCTCGCGCGAATCTCATTCCTCTCGGGCAACATATCCGCGCAGAGGATGGAGAAACTTTGAGACGGGAATTCAGGTACAATAGGCCTTTCATTGAAGCCGTCGACCTCGTTGGCCTCCTCGCAGAAAAGATCCGACATCGTATCGAGCATCAACAATCTCAAATCTTTGAAACCGATATCTCGACGAACTTGGATAACGTACGGTTCTCCGAAGAGACCCTCGACTGGAGTTCGGTTGTGCCTGGGGAGAGAAGTCAAATATCAAACACTCATGTCTATCGAGACCCGGACGCCGGGTCGCCAGATGAAATCGCTCGGAGCCCTAGAGGTCCCCCGGGCGCACATTCTATGGTCGAACAGCAACCTACCAAATGATCATGATATGTTCGCCGTGCTCGTTGGTCTTCTTTGGTTTCGGTGTTTCCAGGCATGTGACAAACTTCGAGTTGCCTCTCGTCTTGAGGTCTTCCAAGAGCGAATTTATGGAGTCGGTATCGGCGTAAACGCTCCCGAATCCTCCTTCGGTATCCGGGAGCATTTGTAGGAACAGCAAGTGCTTCGGCGGTATCCTACACTTTTCAGAAACTTTTTCTCGAAGGTCTCGTATCGTGGAATCGTCGAATAACTCGACCGCAAACTCGATCTGGCGAAGAAGGGAGGTCCAGTCAGAATATCTGAGCCGTGATCAGGATCATGAGAGTCGGAAAATCGCTGAATCGCATCGCGCATCGATTGTACCAGCTCGACAACATACCTGACGGTTCTCTCCCGTCAATCCGACTAGATGAACCGGCACGAGTTTCTTGAGCTTCTGCGGAATCGGCAAGCTGAGGCAAACGTATGGGTCGAACGTTTTGCATTCCTTCCGACAGAGTGGACAGGTTAAGGTCAATTTGAATTGTCCTTGGAATAGTCTCTGGACGAACGACACATTGCATCGCACATGGCTTTCGAGAGCTCGTTTCGCCAGGAATTCGTCCGGTTTGCCGAAGGTACCCTAGAAGATAAAATTTCAGCGATTGATTTATTTATATCTCCGCGGAACAAAGCTCGGACGAAAAATCTTCTCGGCATTCGCTCAATAAACATATCCTATGGCACCGACTCCGATTGCTGACGGATTCCGCCCGTCGAGAAGAGCCAACAATTCACCTAGATAATCTATCTGAACGAGGGATTCGTTCGACTGAAAAAGAACGAGCTCAAGCAACACGGGGAGAGCTGATTGACTAGCGAGCTCGTGACGAAGAGGCTTTGATTATTATTCTAGAAATTCGAGCGGAGGGAATTTTTCCCAGAGAGCATCCCATTCCATGATTCTGTTCTCAGCCTCCGTTTTTGGTCTACCTATATCCAAGACGAACGGCTCGATTTCCAGGAGTTTAGTGGTTTGAGGAGTTTGGAATACGCGACGAATGAACAGATGGCGATAAGCAAGAGTCATTCCACTCATTCACGTAAGGAGTCGTGGGTGACCGCTCAAGTTTTCCCCGCTGGGGAGGTCCCGAAATTGAGCATCATGTTAATCGATTCATCTATTAATTTTATGCACCCTCCATCTCTCTTGGAGTTTCAGCGTCTTCTATACGGTCATCTTCTTCCGACTTTCGTTTCCTCGAAGACGCAATCACGGAGAAAAATTCATTCGCAGTCAGAGGGCTCTCCCGTCGGGAATCTTCCACTGGGCTCTGCGCGCCTCACACCTGTACGAGAACCCCGCCACGTGAAGTCATTCAGGGCGGATGACCGATCCAGTCTGGGGAAGGACTCTCCAAGCCGAGCCTTAGCTAAAGCGGTTTCCATCATGAGAATCGATCGATGGAAACATCTATTTCGCGCAGCCCGGCGCTCATGCCGCACGGCCCGACTGACGGAGCTACAGCCGTCGACCGTCTGGAATCGTGACGAATTCAAGGACGTTCACAACATTGTGACGTCGTCCGGAAAGCGTCATTGGCCACAGCGCTGCCTGTCTTTCTCGAGAGTCCTTCGAGGGAGCTTGCTAGCCCAGATTCCAGGATGAGCTTCAGTCGCCGACGGAGGCAGCGAGGAGTTCTCGAAAATAACATCGAGATCTTCCCGTAGACTAAAAATGTGGGGACATTTCTGCGGAGGAGACTCGACGCTGACGAATAGAGCGACGACTGATTCGAAGGCCTCGTGAATATGAGTCCACTGACAAGAGTTAAGGAGAGCGGAAGGAATCTGTGTCGAGTGGCGGTATGCCGTCCCGTGGGAGGGTGATCCTTGCAAATTGTTTGGAAGCAAAGGTGAATCATCCACAGAACAACAAGAATTGCCCTATGCGCGCTGCTTCGACTCAAACAATGGGAGACAGCTTCCAGAGGCCCTAAGCGTTGTTGATATGACGTGAACAAAAGAGACAACCTGGATCGAAAGGTTTCAATGCCGGTCATGAAACAGCGATACGCAGAGTAGCCCTTTGGCTATCTCTGAGTGGAGACAGAGAACCCAGAACTAACTCCATGCGAATGCCGGGGGCATCTCTCTGGCATAAGGAGTATTTCCGCCAGATTCGGCCTTCCCGGTGAGACTTTATTTTGGAAACGTGACAGGTGGTTGGTGAATGATCGCGCGAAAAAGCATGAAACGCAATCCATCGGCCTGTGGATCCAGTGGAGCTTATGAAATTCCGCGTGGCAGTAATCGATCGCTCAACCGAGGAGCGATCTTGATTGATGGGGAACTCAGATAGTGACCGACAGACGATTCGCAACCCATCAATCGATCACAGAGCAGATAGATGGACCGAAGCATATTTTCGTACCCAGATATATTCAAATGAATTATTACGGCTCACGCATTGTCCATGCTTGGAATGGAAGGGGTGTCCGGCCGGCCGTGAGCTGCGAGAGCACGCATTATTTTCCCCGGAATGCCGCAAAGAATAAGTCCCTCCCGCTCCGAATTCCTTGGCTACGTCAATCCGCTCGAAGTCGGACCACGGGCAGTCTGGGCAGGTTTTTCGACCTCTTAAGCGCGCGTCTGCTAATCTATCAGACGAGACTCCATATAAATTTCCTCTGCATTAAGCAGACTCCATCAGACCAGAGTCGTCAGCATTCAAGTATACTCGAAGCTCTGAGCGTCCAGAGGTAAGATTCTACGACAGAGGCATAAACGGAGCGAAGGGAAGGTTCCTTGGAGATCGTCGGTCTGTACGCGGCGTCGAGTCTTGAGAATCTACCCCCAGTCGTGCGAATAGCGGACTTTTACGAAGTTATCCTCTCCGCTGACAGTACGTTCCCCCTGTTCAGTAGGGAAACAACCAATCTGTCGAGGACAGTCGGATCAACCTACATATATGTGCATAAATCGCTTGAACAGGAATTCCGACAAGTGACGCCGAATAATAATTTCCAGAGCACGGCCGTTTTCAGTGACCGTATTAGATGTTTACTACGGCCACATCACCCACTCATCGCCCGGCGTGGGTCGAACGTCCCAGACTTGCGGAATGGACCAGAAGATAAAATCTTGTTCCAGCAATCAAAAACGCGAATTCCCCTTCCAGTTGCTATTCTGGGAATGAGCATACAAATCAAATACGTCCACAATCTTCGGAAATTCCGTAAGGACTCCACTGTCCCCGCAGGAAGCGTATCAGTCCCGCTTGCGGTTCAGCAAGCATTTTCCCCCGTGGCCGCAGCCCTTCGCGGGTTCTGTGGAATCGTGACGGGCTTATCGTGTTGGAGTAAAACGGGGGAAGGAAAGTCCTGTGGTGTACTCCTCTCATATGTATAACCCGACTCAATCGTAAACCGCTCCCTCCATGCCGAAAGGCACAATGATCGAGGAATCGTCTGCGTATAGAGTGTTCCATCGAGTGCCGTCGTCATTGTCGACAGTCGAGTCCGGTGAGCCGTGACTTTGGTGGAATGTCAGTGAGGCAGCTAGTCAGCAAAGCATCCGAGCGGCCAGCTTGTCCCTTAGTCCGCACACAGTGAAAGCAATGAAGAGTTCTCGTGACTTTTGGTCTTATCCAATCCCGAAAACGTTTCCGGGTTCCCTCCTTCTCTTCCCTCCGATCGCCGGATGTTTCAAACAGACAACCATTTATGCGCCTTTCAACTCGCAACCAAAGCACAACAAAACAACATCGGCTCGGGCTGGTGGGAAAACGCTGGATCGGGTAGCCGACGATGAACTGGATCACATCAAAGCGTATCCGATGAGGATCTTCACCCTCAGCCGGAGGGACGACGCAACGTTGAGCCAGGGAATTTTCACTGCGCTTCTTTTTCGGGACCCGAAGCAGAGGTTTTGTTGAGGCCCTCGGCACACGCGAGGGCTGCTTGAGTCACTAGATCGAGAGCTCTGAGGGAAGCTAAACGACTCCCGCCGTCAGAAGGATAGCACACCGACGAGCGACCTACCACAGAAGTCGTTTCCATTCTCAGAAGTCATTGACGTTACTGAAGATTCGCTCTTTGGCGGGCGAGCACGCGAGGCTCGTCTGGTTGTCCATGGATTCGCGCGCGCTATACCGCCGACGGGCGCGCTTAACCGCCCGCCCGCCTGTGCGTTCGTTTGTTCAATTGTCCGATCTGTCTGTGAGCCTTCGTCATCATGATTTCCGTCAGTATGTAGCTCCATGCATCCATCCATCTATCTATCGTGTCGATGACCCGCCCACGACAATACAAAGCCGGCAGGCAGAGGCGCGAACAAGAGACTACTGCGGCTAACATTCCGACTGGATAAAACACCGGTAGTCATTCGTGAACTCGATTGGTTTCCCGCGTGAGTCTCTCATAATGGCTGATTCGGATCTGAGAGCCAAATATTGCAGACTCGCCACATCGGGTTGAAAAAACCGTACGCGGATAAATTGTCATACCGACGGATCGAGAGAGCATCCCGAAGAGAAGGAGGGGGATTGATCCAAAATAGCTACTCTATGATTCCAGCCCGAACACCCGACGTTCAAGCCCTTTTTCTAGGGATCACTCCCGAGCCGAAGTTATCCGTCTTGACTGTCTGGATCGGAGTCAGAGAGGACTCTGGTGGTGAATCCCAATTAGAGACCGATCGATTCGGCAGGTGAGTTACCTCGCTGGTTCCCGCGCGGGCGGGCGGACTCGTGCGGCGACAGAGCCGCCTCGCCGCCGGCTGACGAGGCATTCCAGGGCAGAGTCGGAAAAGAGGAGCACGGAACATTCATCCGCAGATCTGCATACATCGCCTGAACACGAAGATGCATCCGAGTGGGTAGCCAATTCCGTAGGCGGCGGTCCCAGCAGCGTACGTCGCGCGTCACAAGTCAGTCAAACAATTGGCGGAACAATTGCCCTTCAAAAAAACCGAACTCCACCGCTGCTAAACGCTCCGCCGCATCGCGTCGTTTGACCCGAGTATCGTTTTTCGTGACGAGAGCTCGAATTCCGAGAACGCTGCCCCCCGATTTGGTCTTGTACGTAGATGAAACCTCCCAACATCGAAATGCTGATTGAACGGGATGTGCCACGAGTAATTTCCTAGTTTGGTGTAGACTGGTGGGGATCATCGACTCGGTGCGACTCTGATCGATTCCTGTCCCAGATGGTCGTGATAAATCGCAGAGCTTTCCGGTGGAACTATCAATATCCGATCGTGGCATCCAGAATATATGGCTCACTAGATGATGATGATGACGACGACAATGACGAGTCAATATATTCGGCACACAATGACCCACCGCGAGGCATCATCATCCAGAGCATTACATAACAGTTAAAGAGGATCCCGCCGATATTTAGGTCTCGATGCCGACCACAGTCTAAGGGTGTTTGTGTTTTCCAATCACGAAGGAGCTAAAATGCCAGCTCGGAAACGAACGAAATAGCTTCCCACGTCCACTCGTCGCTGATTCTCGAAATTTCAAACCACAGACCGATTCCAAACACATAGCTGATTCTTCCTGTGCCCTGAATGATATCATCGATAACTAGGAAGCGAGCACCAAAGCATTCGATGACTAATTTATGACTTACTTTGCTATCGAGCTTCTTATACTTCGTCTTGTTGGCTCTGTTCAGGTCTTCGTGCACTTTGTCCAAGAGCCAAATCAGAAATTCCTGAGCGTCGTGCTGTTCTGATCCTTGGTACTGCGGTCCGTACTTGCCGACGAGTGTTTTAAATCTGCGTACGGGTCGGATATTTTCATCAAAATATGAGATACTCGGTATGCGCTCCTTCGAAAGCTCCCGTCAGGAGCTATGCTCTCGGATCGCGAGCTTTCGGATAGGTCCACGGAGCCTGGCTCAGGAAAATATCCCAGAAGCCATACCGGGAGAGAACAGAACCGTACTCACTTTGCACTGATATCAGGATACATTGTACTGCTCCATAGACTTTTGATAAGAAGAGCTAGCTGCTCGGTGACCTCTCCCTTGGTCCCGTACTTTTTGCGATTCGATTTTTTCGAGTAAAGCAAATCCACTTGATAACGGTTCAAGACAAAGTACTCGGCGAACGTGTCTGTGTTTGAAAGGCACTGCACAATTGAGTTGAGATAGCACGTGTTTCCGTGGTTCTTCATTCCGATGAGTCCCACTGGTGGGTTTTCATCGATGGGCTGAAATTGGAGCAAAATTGGTGGCTGAGTCAGTATGTGGAGGATCGTTTCCTTTGCCCGAGCCCTCAAGTCCTCGCTAGAAGTTTCAGACAATCCTGAACTGGATGACACTCATCCCCCGGAAACGAAAACCCAGATTCGGCGGTTCTTTCGCCCGGAAAAGTACTCAGAGAGGGCGATCGGCGTCGCCGTACCGAATGGGAGAAGCTCCCGCTCCACGAGCTCGTACGTGTACGTGGGTTTGATTGTGTGTTGAGTGAAAAGTCCTCGATGACCCTCTGACTGAGACGGTACGCGCGTTCGACGTCAAGTAATTCCGGTGTTTCCATGCAGACTGTTTGCGACCTGACACTCCCGCCTCGGACCAATGAAAATTCCTCCGAGTCTATCTCACCACTAAGTGATCTGAATGCGGTCTGAACGATGTGTGTGGCGCACGCGAGTCTAGACAGGCACGTCTTTGGAAGCGCATCGGAGCGTTCTTTCGGCTAGGACCATGATTTCGCTATCTCCGACAATCACTCGATTTCTCTTCTCTGATTTCTAGGGCTAGGGAATCGAGAATTCTACCGTCTCATCGAGGGGAGAAGATCCACGTCTTCGAATGGATCGACAATCAGAACATCCCAAAAGGAGGACCTTAAGCCCGGCGTCAACCTCATTCAGCCTGAGTACGGCAACGAAACCGATCGGAAAATTTGGGGACCACGCCATGGCTTTTCGCACGGAAATTTCTACTCGGATCGAGCTAAATGGTTGAGGGCTTCCTCGCACCTGTCCCGGAAATCCCACATGGGCGCCTCACCGAAGGGTCCGGGCGAAAGATTAAGACCTTGATTAGAGTGTCGAGTTCAGAACACGGATCGAAATCAGATTGAGCGCCGCTAGTTTTTTTTCTCTGTTCGCCAACGCAGCGGTGGTTGAGGACACGCCGAGGCAGCCGCCGACGATGCTGGTGGTGGTCGACTCGCCGGCCGAGATTCACAGCACGGCGTAACAACACGTCGATTTGAAAAGCTGCGGTTTCCATCCAGCCAGCTCTTTTGTCGATGTGTTTTGATATCGGCGGTCAATCCAGGAGACCAGCAACGCTGTCTGCCCGGCCAGTTATCCAGTCAGCCTGTCCTTCGGACGTCGTGCTATGCGAATCGGAGCCGCTTCGCTTCATCTGACAAGTCCATTCTATGCAGAGGGAGGAGCACTGACTCTTGCGGGACGACGGCTGCGCCGGACTGCAAGCCACTTGCTCTGGCGGAGCATGTGGGAATTTGCCCGGGAATAGCACAGCGGAGAGGAGACAGAAACCAGGATGGCAGCTGTTCGAGCATCATGTCACCGGGGGAAATATCTTCTGCCGCAACCAATCTTCCCGGGAATTCTGCTCTCTGGAGCGGAAAAACAGAAGAGCGGAAGAGCTAATGCATCACCCGAGCTCCGATGGGACTCAAGTCCTCGGTGATTTCACAATAAAATCGTGGGCAAGCACGAAAGCGTTTCTTCCGCGTCGAAGTGGAAGTAAGGGTCCTCTGACGCAGGGTCAAGTGTGGTATTCATTGAGGAATTCCCCTAAGAGCGACATATTCCCCGGAGATTCACCGAAGGGCCTCGGAGGCCGATCGGTCCGATAATTTTCACTGGAAAGCGAGACGGATACCGAAAAAGTGGCCCGAATTACTCACCTTATCGTAGTCGCAGGCTTCATCGTTGCGAGCCCGGCTGAGATCGGTGTGACTCAGACTGATGTTCTTCTTTGCTGTTCGCTTGACAGAAAAGGATCTGACGATTGAGCTGAGGAAGGATTTCCTCTCCGTGCTCCTAGAAGCTCGGGCGGAATTCGGCGACTGATGAACGGGCGACGTGCTGTTCTCCAACGACGTATATTTGACGGATCGTCCGTTGCTGCTTTTTATCCGGGGAAATCTGAAACGTCGACAATAACTCAATCGCTTGCTTATGCGACCGATTTTTGTTTTTCTGACAAAGCTCCAGGGAGGTGGGCGGCGCGGACACAGACAACACGGCCGACTGCCAACTCTAAGTAATTCGAGCCGAAGGTCGTCTACGACTGGGACTGTAAGGAGCTCGACTTCCACGTCTGCACTGAGGCAGAGCAAGAAGTCGCTACGTGAGACCTGCCCATCAAGTGACGATGATATATGTGTGTCGAAGGTTGTGGCATTCCTCACGGAGAGAGTCCTAGACTTACGGAACGACGGAACGTGTCTCTGAGCTCAGGACCGGGGCCGAAGCCCAGGATTCTGATCTCTCGACGGAGGGGTCACCAACTGGTCGAAATCACAGTTGTCAGACAGCAACATATTGTACATCGAGCACAAGTAGAGTACAACATATTGTCTCGCAGAGCTGGTGTTTTTGTTCGCCACCGCGACCAAAAAAACAACGAAGGGGAGTCGCTGAACATTCGTCGATGACCCACGAGCAGCTTACCTATATCGATACCCGATGCCTGAATTTGTTCCAGTGTGCTCGGGTTGACTGTCGCTATCTGGGAGGAATGTAAAAGGACCACGTACCTGGGTAAGGTGAATATGCCTCTGTCCCGTGGGGAGTTCTGCCGACGTCCCGATCTGTCTTCGTCGACGAGATCCCTCTCACTTGCGGATCTCCTGTGGATCGAGGTGCCGATTCCATCTCCTCCGCCTAATCCGCCATTCGAAGGCGTTGACGCTGTGCTTGCCGACATGTGGACACAGTGCTGGTCTCGTCGTCAACAAGGATATTCCCTAGCAGCAATAGATCCACCTGTAACAATCAAGCCACGCTCTAGAACCCGTTCCATCGTCGAGCAAAAAATCACTACAGAGCTCCGAAATTGAAATTCATGAGATTATCCGCGACCGACACCAACGTGCATTTTACGGTTCGCTGCCTCTCTATGTTTCGCGTTCGTACGTTTACAATGCTCTGACCGACGTTTTCAACGAACTGCCGACGGTGCGATATACACGACGCGTACTGCGGAACAAGAACCATCTATTGTTCGATGCTCTGCTAACACTTATGGAGCAGCTAGTGACAGAAGATTCTATCGTCGAATCGCGGACCGCGAGTCTTTGGCACCAGAGATTCAGGAACAGCAGAGCCCCGGAGTGGGAAGTGGACATTCTGGCCTCAGCTCATCGTTCCGCCCGCCCCCGAGGAAAAAATCGATCTGGTGAGCTGGAGTCGACTCCGGAGAGGTCATTGGCTCCACTGGTGAGAATTTCATATTCACCCGAGAATAAAAAGGGATCTAGAAGAGACACGTCAAGAGAACTTGACATATGACAGGAGAATTCTGGGTTCCGCGAGAGTTTTGGGACGCAGGACTCCTGACCTTGAGGGGTTCGACCGGGATCTTCTGCCCCAATAAGAACGGCCTCCAATTGATAATATTATACATACATTCTACGTGCGTAATAATATAATTTTGGTGATGATAATGATGAACTCGCGACTTGCTGCTTGGGCTCGGAATGAATCTCGTGGACGGGGGTCGACTTTAAACCTTCCTTGCGACACTGGAGAGGATTAGCTCATGGAGGCTGGGGAAGAGTCCCGAGAATCCATGCTCTCGGATGGAAATCTCTGCCTGACCAAAAGAGATTGGATCCCGATCGACTCCGCCGGGCTGCTGACGACGGAACGACCCCCATCCGACATACGTTAAACTCGGGGAATGCTCATCAGGGGCAAAAACTTCAGCAAGACTATCGGATCTCGGGGAAGAAACATCAACTCCAGTCGTCGAAAAAATGATATCTCACTGATCGAAGTTGACTCGAAACAGCTCGACTCTTATCGGTCCAATTCCGCGAATAAGGTATCGATGAAACCATAATTCGAATCGCGATTGAGAATCGCACTCAGCTCGGACAGAATCCCTCTGCGTCAGTACCGTAATCGGATATGCTGACACGATTCCCGAACTTGAGCCGCCGACTGTGATCGTAACAGTCCCAAAATGGAATCGGGAGCTTCGACCTGCCGGAATTCGAGTACAACAAAAAATCTTAAGCCTTCAGTCCCAAACCGGAACTCCGATGGGGACAGCTTCCCAGTGTCCACCGTACGAACAAGTATTATCCATTGTTTTCTCGCTGGCCGTCTTACTGGCTTGTAACGAGGCTGGCCAGCACTTGCCTAGGGCTGGTTCACAGCGCCTATACGTATACTACGAAAACCTTATCTCTGGGCGAAAGTTCGCAATCGAAGAAAGCCTTGTTTATTTATTTGAAAGCGCTATTCACACCCTCCATAATGACCGGAGCTAAGACGGGAGAAGTTCCCGCTCCCACAAGGTATGGAATCCCAGTCACGACGAGAGCGGGACCTAATGCGACGGAATCGCTTCGACTATTCGTTTTTCTCTTGTTTCGTCGATGTCAAGATGCTCGCTGCTGGGCCTACTGGAGAAACCTAGTGAACCAGCGGGAGACGGCGTAAACAAGGCGCCAAAGGAACCTCATCCCACCGAGCATGGAGCACACGACTTCTCAGAGGAGACACCTGTTCATTCGATTCACCCACTTCGGCACCATTTTCCGCGTCGTCGTTCGAAACGATCCTGCTTGGAGCTTTCTCGAGAGAGCATCGACAATTCCCGAGTTAGGCGATGGTGCGTTCGGAACGTATCCATTGCAAGCACTCACCTTCGATGGGGACGGGTATCTTTGCAACGAATCAACGACATCGGCGCCAGCGACAACGACATCACAATTATGGTTTTATCCGTTGTCTTCAGCAGAAATAGATTACGACATAACGTTCACCAGCTATTTCCGACACGATTGTAGAATACGCACAAACTTTGCTTCTGATGACGACGGGCACCAGCGAATGGTTCGTTCTCTTCACTCACTCCCTATGGGGCTACAGCAGCACACCACACACACCGTCGACACATACAAAATAAGAATTCATATTTACTAATACACTCACAAACGAAATTCCGCTGTACTTGACGGGCTTTCTAAGTCGGATTCCCGGGCTCAAGCGGCGCCAAATTCGAATCGAATCGTATTCGACAGCCGCCCGGAGCTCGACCGCAGAAAGTTGAGGCACAGGAGCCCATAAGCCAGCAGGAGACTCGACCGAACGAGGAATCGCACTAGGGATGCTCAGACTTCTCGAAAACCATGTGTCTGTACGACTCCCATAAAGTCTTTCTACCATTGACTACGTCTTGGACGGGGAAGCTCCAGCTGATAAAACGGCTTTGGCGGCCGTTCGGCGGCCGTCGACCGCTGCTCATGATCATCATCTGATACGGAGTCAGAGCTGCCACTGACGGCGGACGAATTGCGACGAGCAACTCCGGACGTGGAAGAAGAGCAACCTAGATTCTATCTTTGGCTCACGGCTCACACAGTCCGGTGAGTTGTCAACGAAACCGTTGGAACGCGATCTTCTTGCTCTATTTGTTCGGAGGGGCTGTATAATTTCAGAGAGCCGAGCGCTGTCGTCGGCCCTCCGGTCAGACTCATTCAACAGCTGACGCCGGACCGAGCTGTCAGATTCAAATTTCTCTGAGGAATTCATGAATCGCCCGGGATCCGGAACGGCACCAAAAAAATCGGTTAGGAATGGAATTCCGAAACCAAATCAATCTCTCGACTGGGGAAGTCGGAGAGTGACGGAGAATAGCTGATAGTGGTCAGGAGGGTACCACTTCACCTTGTTCGTAAGCTATGAGCAATGACTTGGGCGTCTTAGCCGATGTCACAGTCGATTATAATCGAGCGTATAAATAAACAATTATATCATGAGAGAGGGCTTGGAGGAAAGAAAGGGACCTCACCCGCCCCGCATCCAGGCGGGAGGGATTTCGACATCTACCAATCTCAACCAATTCGATTACTCTCTGTGACCATCTTTTGCTCGCTTCAGTCGGGGCAGTTTCCTCCTCTACCGAACATACTTCTATACCTTCGCTCCTAACGACTTCATTCGCTGCTCCCAAATGCTACGCTAAGCCACCATCTTGAGGTTTCGAAAGGCGCGGAGCAAATGGACGCGCCACAGAGAGTGATGGGGATTTCGCTAAGATTCATCGAGTGGAGGATCCGAACTACTCGCCCGTGCCGAGATCCGCTGGCCGCGCAGTGGACTACCTACGGGACCGCGCGGCCCCGCCACCCAGGCGAGCGTCGTTTCCTCACATCACCAGGGACGAGCATTGCGTCGCTTCTTCTGTCTCTTCACATTCTGGTCTACGCAAGACTCGGTTGATTTCGAATGGCCATATACCATCGTTCAGAGACGATTCGCAGAGGAGACCTCGGTGCGAAGTACGGAGTATGGATCGAGACTCTAATGACGAGCTCTGGTTCGGCGCAGTTGTTGAAAATGATACCCTAGTAGAACCTCAGTGGTGCTTCGGGAGTGCGCGCTCGGAATAGACGGTTATCCTCATGGAATAGCTCGTGTCTGAAGCGAGGATTGCAGAACTGGAGGGAATACGCTCCTTCGGGTCGAACCTCGACTTTCTTTGATGGACGTACCTCTGGCCTAGGTCCTTCCCCTTGATGTCTACAGTGGAGCAGGTCAAACGCTCCCACACGAGAATCTGCGGTATCCGATCTTAAGATGGAACTTTCGCAGAATTTCGTATCGAACGACTCCTCTCCGGGTCGGAGTCTCTATCCGATGGTGCTGACTGGCTAATCATTGTGATTTCAATTCCTAAAGTTTGGGCGAGCGCACATGAACTGGAGAAGCATGACGCGCAAACCAAGCAGCTCCACGGGCACAACCTCCAGCTTTTCGGACAAACTGAAGCAGCGGTATCGCTCTGGACAACTTCCACAAGACTGCGAGAGAAGTCGCTTTGGGAGTGGACGGAAATCATCCAGACGGACGCGGGAAGTATTCCCTGTCTCCCTCAGTGCAGCGATCAATAGTCTGTGGACTAGGCTTCTACTGACCGCTCGGGACTCCCCGTCAGGAAACATGACAGTTCTCTCCCGATGATGTACCGATTGTTTTAAGGATCAACCGACCGCTAGCAACGGTACTTCTTCTGACTCGATCTTCGGACATTAGTAGAGGCTGCCGAAAAACATGGTGATCATTCTGTTTATCCGAATAAATGGACTCCAATTTATTCATCCGAAGCGTCTTTCGCTTTCAAGGACGCTTTTCTCCTCAATGAAGCACCCGTCGGGATGATCGATCACCACCCCAACCACGAATCTCATTGTATGAGCGAAAAATCTCATATATTGTGCGAAGCGAATCGAAAAGGGGGATGGAATCGAGTATATCGCGCTCAATCATATTTCGCCCTCAATTCTCTGGAAACCGATTTCAGCGCATTTCCATCCTGCTATGATCGAGTCGAAAATGAGACACGTGATACGTACTTCGGGAATTTAGTTATGAACTGTAACAGCCGCATTCTCCGAGTTCTTCCTTCATTCGTGAAAATCTCCGGAGAAGTACGCAATCCGGTTTTTCTCGTATTCTTTTCCGTATCCTCTACCACGAACAAGCGATACACAGCGAGGGAAATCGGGCGGCATATCCGGAGCACGGATTTTCCGAGTTCGGGGTAAAAAGGTAAGATTCATTGTTCGATTCCGCTACCTTCGCCAGAGGACATCCGGTAATATTCGGCGAAACTATCCGCCGAGAAGCGTGTAATCGTCGAATGCATTCTCGATGGGAGGATTCCCGTTCATCGCGCTGAGGATCTCAATCACCGCGCAATGCATGCGCTCGGTGGCAGCTCACATCTTGTACTCGGGCAAATGTAGGCTCAGAACTCGCAATGCCGTGCGGGCGAGGAGGCAGTGTTCAGCGAACTTACGGGAGTAAAGCTGGTGACTGAGTGCTCACGCAGCGCGAATTCCGGAGAGCTCGCTCGGTGTAAATCAGTATTGATAAGTTCGACATCATTTGTTGTCCTCGATATACTCATATGAGTATTTGCAGACCCGATTCCAAGTGTACCCTTTATGTCGACAAGAATTCAACAAGGGAAAGGAGCTGGACCGACTGTGCATACGTAGAAAATTCGGCGGAGTTCTCGGATTCCTCAGCGAAGCAGCTCCTCTCAGTGTACGAGATTCGGAAGTTGAGCGCATGTCTCTGACTCGCAAGAGACCTTGAGCATCGTGAACAGATTAAAGAGCTCATTATTGAGGAATGTTGGAATTCTTCTCCGAATTCTTCTCTATCAATGACGGAACGAGGGGCAGAAGCGAACTTCAACCCCTCTGAGCGCTCCCGTTCCGAATGAGCTGAGTTTCGGATTCGAGGCACTAACGATCGAACGGCCGGGGTCTTAACAATCGGCTCTCGAGTTTGTGTCGCCGATCTCGAATTCACCCGATGAAGTCGCCGAACTCTACGAGCCTTCTCCGGCTCCATATCTTCTCCGCGAGAGTCTCTGATTCCAACCATTGCCTCGGCCGGGGAGTTCGAATTCCCGACGGAGCGTCGAAGATTGGACCGCGTCGAACGTCGAAGACGGGACCGTGTCGCACGTCGCTGAGGAAGTATTTTGGGGACTCCATTGGGTCTAGACTAGACCCTAAAGATCTACCTACATCTACGATAGAAATGGAAATACAAGAGGAATTTCTTCGAGGATCTCCGCGGGATAATCAGTGGTGGCGCCGGTTTTTTCTTTGGTTGCTGAAGAGTGGAGTCCAAATCGGTGCACTACGCGCACGGGGTCGTCTCACTGGATACAGATGCGTACGACGTGAATTCTCACGGTGGACGATCTCTCTTCATCAGATCATACAAATCTCCTAATGCTGTTTGTTGCCTAGCCTAGAATGTTTCTCGAAACCCTCCGCGGGCCGTGCTCTAGAAATACTGCTCCTGAATTTATCTCAGAGATTTCTAACCCACACATAAATCGAGTGATCTGAAGAATTGGGGTGCCGGGCGTCCTGATTTCCAGAATCGGGACGCCATATGGGGATCAGCGTCCCGCTGGCGCCGCCACTTTGAAGAATCAGGCTACGACGACCAAGGATTCGATAGCTTTTCGGATAGGGAGTTTCCGAAATCCTCTGGAGGCGACTGGTGCTTATCCGGGCGATGATCTCTTTCAAGTTGGTGGCCCTGAGAAGGGCCGTTTTTTCGTTGTCGATGAAGAACTCGAAGTGATTTAACCTCCGAAACCGTAGAGGGTACGTCCTTGTCTCTTGAGAGCGTAGACGACGTCCATGGCGGTGACGGTCTTCCTCTTGGCGTGCTCGGTGTAGGTGACAGCGTCACGGATGACGTTCTCAAGGAAAACCTTGAGGACACCGCGGGTCTCTTCGTAGATCAAACCAGAAATACGTTTGACTCCACCACGACGTGCCAAACGACGGATGGCAGGCTTGGTGATACCCTGGATGTTGTCACGCAAAACTTTACGATGACGCTTGGCGCCACCCTTTCCGAGACCTTTTCCTCCCTTGCCGCGTCCAGACATGATTCTCTTTTCGAATGAGAAGTTAGATCTGCGTAGCCCGAGATTCTTTTATACCCGGTCGAAGCACCGGCTCCGCCTTCTGAAGAGCGAGGAGGGTGGTCGCATGGGTGAACCCCTTGTGGCTAACAGCGCACATTCCCCGGATAATAGTGAGCACGTATGATAATTCGAGCTCCGAAGAGAAGAACCGAATAGATACATCGAATTCGAACGAAGAAGTCCATGTGCAAGGGAAACATCGCAAAGGAAAGCTCTTAAGACTGCGTCGATAAGAGCTCACGAAACGAATCGTCATCGGAAACTGGGCTTCGAGCCAGCAATGTTTGCCTCGTGATGCGTACATTTCCAGACTCTTCTTCAAGTCTTCCGATCTATATCGGGGTTTGCGTTGTTGGATCCATAGTTTCGACTGACAAAATCGCATCTCCAACCCGTTCCGTCAATCAGCTCATATTTCGACCGTTGTACAGTCTACCCTAGTCCGGAGGCGTCCTCCCAGGTGGCGCGGCGAGACGCCATCTGGCTCGCCCACTCTCTCTTCTCTATATAAGGACCCATGAGTCTCACTCCAGTCACCTAAAGTTTTGGCGCGCACTCGTTCGCTATGGCTCGTACTAAGCAGACCGCTCGTAAATCCACCGGAGGAAAGGCTCCGCGTAAGCAGCTTGCCACCAAGGCTGCCCGCAAGTCCGCCCCGGCCACCGGAGGTGTCAAGAAACCCCATCGTTACAGGCCCGGTACCGTCGCTCTTCGTGAGATCCGTCGTTACCAGAAGTCGACTGAGCTCCTGATCCGCAAGTTGCCTTTCCAGCGACTTGTTCGTGAGATCGCTCAGGACTTCAAGACCGATCTCCGTTTCCAGAGCTCAGCCGTCATGGCTCTTCAGGAGGCCTCTGAGGCTTACCTCGTCGGTCTCTTCGAAGACACCAACCTGTGCGCCATCCACGCCAAGCGTGTCACCATCATGCCAAAGGACATCCAACTGGCCCGTCGTATCCGCGGAGAGCGTGCTTAAGTCACTCGCAACCGTGAGATAGAAAAAAACGGCCCTTCTCAGGGCCACCCAATTCTATGAGATCATGACCTTATGGCTTACCAAATTAGGTCCGCTTCCCACAATTATATACGACACTATGCTTTTTGAGAACATGGGCGACTGGGGAGCTGATTCATTCGAAGATATCGTATCTTGAATCCGACACATGGATTGAGACGCTACTTGTTTTTGTCGAACGAATGAAAATAGATGAATGAGGAAGAATTATCCATATCATGAATTCCATATTCATTCTGATGAAACGCGCTCTCAATAGATACGTCGGTCTGGTGGATTCAGCCCATTTTGATCAGACGCTCCAAGAAAGTATTGAGAGCGATTCAATTTCCATCGATTTCGGTCAATAGAGCTCGCGACGGGAGTATAGCGATAAATTCCATACGCCGACACATTCTTGACAGATGCACGGACTCCGACCTTTGGTACATTCTTGTCTTTTCCACATGAATACTCCCCAATATGTCGGAAGCATATGGAAGAATTGCTCCCTCAGGTACCTATCTGAAGTAATATGCGCGTATCTTATCATGATGCACATGGAATTAGGCTGCGGTATCGCCGGTTTTTATCGGGGAGAACTCTGACTCGAGGCTTGGGGATATTTGCTCTTGTTAATTTTGGTGGCCCTGAAAAGGGCCGTTTTTTTTACATCGGAAGATGCAATTTACTTGGATGAGGTGTACTTGGTGACAGCCTTGGTTCCTTCAGAGACGGCGTGTTTGGCCAACTCTCCGGGGAGAAGGAGCCTCACAGCGGTCTGGACTTCCCGAGAGGTGATGGTCGACCTCTTGTTGTAGTGGGACAGACGAGAAGCTTCGGCGGCGATACGCTCGAAAATGTCGTTCACGAACGAGTTCATGATAGACATGGCCTTCGAGGAGATACCGGTATCGGGGTGGACTTGTTTCAACACCTTGTAGATGTAGATGGAGAAAGACTCCTTCCTCCTGCGCTTCTTCTTCTTCTTGTCCGTGGCACGGACGTTCTTTTGGGCCTTACCGGCCTTCTTCACGGCCTTTCCACTGGCTGCAGGCGGCATCGTTCGAAGCGACTTCAAACGAGAGTAAGGAGCACCAGAAGAGCGTTCGTATTTCAATGTTTGGACTGGGGCGAGAAGAGCGGATCTTCTGCCGCCTTTTGAGAGAGAGGCTGCTCCGCTCGGCGACAGAGCCCGCCCAGCTACATATATAAACGCAAGAGCCCTAACCCAGAGCAATCGTCAGTTTTGAACTCACGTACTATCAACATGTCTGGACGCGGAAAGGGAGGAAAGGCGAAGTCGAAGGCGAAGACCCGTTCGTCTCGTGCGGGACTTCAGTTCCCCGTCGGTCGTATCCACCGTCTCCTCCGCAAGGGAAACTATGCCGAGCGTGTCGGTGCTGGAGCCCCCGTGTACCTCGCCGCTGTGCTCGAGTACTTGGCCGCTGAAGTTCTCGAGTTGGCAGGAAACGCTGCTCGTGACAACAAGAAGACCAGAATCATCCCCCGTCATCTTCAATTGGCCATCCGTAACGACGAAGAATTGAACAAGCTCCTCTCCGGTGTGACAATCGCCCAGGGTGGTGTGTTGCCCAACATCCAGGCTGTCCTCCTCCCCAAGAAGACAGACAAGGCTGCTGCCTAAGTCATTCTACGCCAAAAAAACGGCCCTTTTCAGGGCCACTACACTCTAGAAGATCGATTCAACCTCCGGAGTTGTCGGTTGGCATGGCATAGGATTGAAATGGGAATCACGATAAAATTAGGCTTTATGCCACGGTTAGCAACGTCTCCTGAAAAACGCCCAGGTGGCGAGATCGGGAGCATCCCACTATTGAAACTATTGCAGGTGTGACAGTAAATCGATATCGAAAGCGTAATCGATGAGGATCATCGTTTGAACCAATCATCGGGGGAATCGATGACCGAATGCCGACGGGAACCGCATCGCGCACAATCATCCACATGCAAGAGATGTATCGCATGAAAAAGGTCTCAGTGAAGAGCTCGATCGCGGGCTCCTCGAGGAGGGGGCAGCCCGGTTATTAACGAAAATAATTATTCGGATAAGCTCGAAACCGAATACGAATAAAACCTGCTTGTTCCCAGGCGAATGCACATGTATTCCAGCTCGATATTGGTGTCCTCCAAAATTTGTTCCTTCCCTTATATCGGCGAGGAAAATGTGGAAACTAATGAGGAAGAGACCTATGGAATCCCATTGCTTCGTTCGTCGAGCATGAGGGCGATGTGTATCGGTCACTCGTGATTAAGGGGAGAATGAATCCTGTAGATTGTGAGCTTGAAAGTGGAGGGTGCAAGTTTATATGTTGTAGCGAGATTGGTGCACGGACCTCTCTAGTCGAATCGCTGTCGAAGTAATCGAATTAAATGTCAGACTCTATGAAGGACCAGAAGAAACTTTCGATTGAGGAACCAACTCGCGCTAAGTCAGGGCATGATCTCTTAAAAATTGGTGGCCCTGAGAAGGGCCGTTTTTTTCTGCCGAAGGAGAGTTTGACGTGATTAACCTCCGAAACCGTAGAGGGTACGTCCTTGTCTCTTGAGAGCGTAGACGACGTCCATGGCGGTGACGGTCTTCCTCTTGGCGTGCTCGGTGTAGGTGACAGCGTCACGGATGACGTTCTCAAGGAAAACCTTGAGGACACCACGGGTCTCTTCGTAGATCAAACCAGAAATACGTTTGACTCCACCACGACGTGCCAAACGACGGATGGCGGGCTTGGTGATACCCTGGATGTTGTCACGCAAGACTTTGCGATGACGCTTGGCGCCGCCCTTTCCAAGACCTTTTCCTCCCTTGCCGCGTCCAGACATGATTCTCTTAACAAATGAGAAGTTAGAACTGACTGGGTCGGAGGCATTTTATACTCATCCGGAGCACCGCTTCCTCCTCTATTGGGCGAGAGTTCGACTCATAAACGCGTCCCGCCCAAAGAGCGCCCTCGCAGCATCCGATGCTCTAGAGCTCCAACGGTCGCTCTCACTCACACACCCCGTCCTATATAAAGCCTCGAGCCCTTGGATTCAGTTCCTGATAGGTTCGTCTGTCGTCTATCGCTATGGCTCGTACAAAGCAGACCGCTCGTAAATCCACCGGAGGAAAGGCTCCGCGTAAGCAGCTCGCCACCAAGGCTGCCCGCAAGTCCGCCCCGGCCACCGGAGGTGTCAAGAAACCCCATCGTTACAGGCCCGGTACCGTCGCTCTTCGTGAGATCCGTCGTTACCAGAAGTCGACTGAGCTCCTGATCCGCAAGTTGCCTTTCCAGCGACTTGTTCGTGAGATCGCTCAGGACTTCAAGACCGATCTCCGTTTCCAGAGCTCTGCCGTCATGGCTCTTCAGGAGGCCTCTGAGGCTTACCTCGTCGGTCTCTTCGAAGACACCAACTTGTGCGCCATCCACGCCAAGCGTGTCACCATCATGCCCAAGGACATCCAGCTGGCTCGTCGTATCCGCGGAGAGCGTGCTTAAGTCACTCGTATCCGTGCGATAGAAAAAAACGGCCCTTCTCAGGGCCACCCAATTCTATGAGATCATGACTCCGTGGCTAAGGCGAAATATGCGTGCAACTTCCAGCAAGAATATATGACACTAAGCTGTCTGAGAACATGGGCGACTGGGAAGTTGATTCATTCGACGATATCATATCCAGAATCCGACACATGGATTGAGACGCTACCCATTATTGACGAACGAAAGAAAATGGATGAATGAGGAATAATTCTCCATATCATGAATTCCATATTCATTCTGATGAAACGCGCTCTCAATAAGCATCTTCATCCACGAGGAAGTCGCCACGTGCGTCGAGGCGAGCGGGAAGACTTTCACGCTCCAGATTTATTTCGATCAAGATTCGATCAGGCTCGGAGCGGGTCCTATTCTCATTTTTCTGAATAGCTTCCCCTCCAGATACGTTGGTCTGGTGGATTCAGCTCATTTTGACCAGACGCTTCATCGGAGTAATGGGAAGCGATTTCATCATAACTGTTATCGGTCGATAGGGCTGAGATCGCTACCGAAGTATAGCGATAAATGCCATACGCCGACATTTTCCTGACAGAAGCACGGATTCCGACCTTCGGTACATTTTTGTCCATCCCACAAAAAACTCCCCAGGATGTCAGACTATAAAGGAAAAAAGCACCCTCAGATACCTATCCGCAGCGATATATATTCAATTAACATGCACACGAAGTCAATCTGCATGATGGTCGGCCCGTATTTGAGAGAACTCAGACTCAAGGCTTGGGGATAATCGCTCTTGTTCATTTTGGTGGCCCTGAAAAGGGCCGTTTTTTCCATCGGAGGATGCAATTTACTTGGAAGAGGTGTACTTGGTGACAGCCTTGGTTCCTTCAGAGACGGCGTGCTTGGCCAACTCTCCGGGGAGAAGGAGCCTCACAGCGGTCTGGACTTCCCGAGAGGTGATGGTCGACCTCTTGTTGTAGTGGGACAGACGAGATGCTTCGGCGGCAATACGCTCGAAAATGTCGTTCACGAACGAGTTCATGATAGACATGGCCTTCGAGGAGATACCGGTGTCGGGGTGGACTTGTTTCAACACCTTGTAGATGTAGATGGAGAAAGATTCCTTCCTCCTGCGCTTCTTCTTCTTCTTGTCCGTGGCACGGACGTTCTTTTGGGCCTTACCGGCCTTCTTCACGGCCTTTCCACTGGCTGCAGGCGGCATCGTTCGAAGCGACTTCAAACGAGAGTGAGGAGCACCACAAGAGCGTTCGTATTTCAATGTTCGGACTGGGGCGAGAAGAGCGCAACTTCTGCCGCCTTTTGAGAGAGGGGTTGCTCCGCTCGGTGAGTATGGCCACCTGGCCTCATATATAAACGCGAGAGCCCGAACTCGGAGCAATCGTCAGTTCTGAACTAACGTACTATCAACATGTCTGGACGCGGAAAGGGAGGAAAGGCAAAGTCGAAGGCGAAGACCCGTTCGTCTCGTGCGGGACTTCAGTTCCCCGTCGGTCGTATTCACCGTCTCCTCCGCAAGGGAAACTATGCCGAGCGTGTCGGTGCTGGAGCCCCCGTCTACCTCGCCGCTGTGCTTGAGTACTTAGCCGCTGAAGTTCTCGAGTTGGCAGGAAACGCTGCTCGTGACAACAAGAAGACCAGAATCATCCCCCGTCATCTTCAATTGGCCATCCGTAACGACGAAGAATTGAACAAGCTCCTGTCCGGTGTGACCATCGCCCAGGGTGGTGTGCTGCCCAACATCCAGGCTGTCCTCCTCCCCAAGAAGACCGACAAGGCTGCTGCCTAAGTCATTTCACTTCAAGAAAAACGGCCCTTATCAGGGCCACTATACTCTAAAAGATCGATTCCTCCTTCGAACCTTCCGGTCGGCCAAGTGCATGGGTCTGACTCCAGTTCTTTCAGTGGAGCCTTAATATGGATCCTATTATTTTTGAACGGCAAACACTCTCCCCCGGCTTCCTTGATGAGTTCCTCGCCTGAGTCACCCGTCTAAGTGCTAAGATTGATGACACTAATCTTGTAGTATCGAGGAAGACACCATGAAGCGAGTATTTCGATGTGCCCAAGCTCCGGACTCTAAATCGGGTCAATCATGGTTGCCATAACAAGATTTCCAGCGGGCCATCCGTGACGACGAAGAATTGAACAAGCTCCTGTCCGGAGCGACCATCGCCAGGTGGGGCATTGCCCAACATTTAGTTTATCCTTCTCCCCAAGAAGACTGACCGAGCTGCTGCCTAAGCTTTTCTGGCAAAAGATTAAGGCCTTCTTCGGGGCGACCACACTCTTGGAGAATAATGCCTCCGAACCTATCGCCGACCAACCGAACCGAAAACTGAATGTGCATTCAGTTCATGGAGCCTACATTCAGTTCACCTATGTCCAAGCTTGTGCATAACAATTGAGGTACAAGAAGCGAGATGAAAGACGCCCCAGACTTCTTCCGCGGTCAGGCGATCGCCCACCTCGAGACTTCCGACTTCCCATGCTCTCCATGTTATGGCAGGACCCAAATATCGATCCGCCCCCCCCCTGATGCATTGAAGCCCCCCCCCCCTTGGAGGACTCCTGGATCCGCCCCTGCTCGAGGCGGCCTGGAATATTCGACAATCTTCGTTTCCAGTACCGACCTCGTCGGGGGTCAGAGAACTAAATTGACCACCCATTAATACAAAACTCCAATCGAGCCAGCTCGGCGAATCAGAAAAAGTTCGCGAGAGCATCTCGCATTTTCATTGCGCGACAGCTACGCATCGTATCGGCCGTCTGTGCCTGTTATGTATGTACATTCCTTCCCTCCACAGATGGAGCCTTCATTTCGGAACGCTAATTCATGCAGCGACAGTCTTCCGGGAGATGAGCTCCGTCCATCGTCGGACGATGGGGTTGTCCTAATCCCCGGAGTCCGACACGGTCCATGTTCCGAGTGAGGAATCGTCGATCAGCTGCAGACAGTGAGCGCCGAAAGATGCCAGATCGGATGAGATGATTCATATTTCCTACTAGATGCGCATCCAGAGATGATTTTGGAGGGAGCTCTTTTTTTACCTTGGCGCGAACACCGTGCGGGTGTTCGGCCGCTCTTCATTGTACATGACTTCATGTTCGACCAGGCCGTCAGCACGTTCGAATTATGTATCATACTTGCTGCACTCATCGTAAGGTGTCTCGTCGGTGTGTCGACGCCGGTGTCGGGCAAGAGAATGTGTGCGTCCGAAAGATGTCCAACGCATCCCCCGCATGAGCACGGCTTCCCTCCAGTGTGTGAGTGGCAATACTCGTCTGATTGCTTTTCCACCTGTGGCTCGCCGGACAGGAGTCTAGTTTCTCTCGCATATGAAGGAGAGAGAGCGTTTTCAATTTGATCGGAGTCAGGAATCTCGATGAGCGATTACAGCACGAAAATCCTTCCACGCCACGCGTAGCGATATCGCAATGCGCGCCTAGTCGTAACGATGCGATCGTAGTTCCAACGGGGACACTTGGATGTGCCAACTTTCGGTTCCATTAGTATCGAAGTCATACGTCTGCGCTCTTGTGACGTGTTTCCTTGATCAGAGACTCTTGTGAGGCTTGCGCGATTCCAAGCTCCGAGAAGACGAGCCCGAAGGGGTCTGCGTCGGACCTTGATACATGTGCACGTCCGCGATTCTTTAATTGACCCAATTCCAAGTCTTGCGCTCGCTCACGGAAAACTCAGCTTTCGTTCTCTTAACCGGATCTGGCCGTCAACATTGGGGTACCCCGTCGCGTCGTCGTTCCATGTCGAATTCCATAGCTCTTCAAATGTCGGTCTCATCAGAGATTCCGCGTCTCCTCTCTACGTTCTCGTTCCCTGGCTCCATGTAAAAGACTTCATTCCCCCTTCCCACCCGCGGATCCTTACTAAGTGTATCGGTGAGTGTTCTCTCTATGGAGAGAACACCTCGCCCGTGGTCGAGCGCAGGTACGACTTGATCCGCTTTAAAGCACTGGAATTCCGCCCACAAGAAGCCCTGGTGACAGGAAACACAAGAACTATCTCAAAGTATAGTACCAGATTCTCGAAGCCTTCGTCGAGAGGTGAAAGGTTCTTCGGGCACTGTCGAGCTGTCCTCAGTTTCCGCTTGAGGAGCAGACTCCTGGCCTCTCTGCGCTCGGCAATCAGAGCATCTACGTCCATGCCGAAGCGGGCGAACTTTTCGCTGAATATTCTGAGACCAGCTTTTTTTCAAGAAATTGTCCTTCATCGGATCGGACGCTACTAGGCGCTTGAAAATGTCGTCAGGACTGTTCTGAAGGACTGTAGTTGGCTCAGAAATCCTCTGCATAACGCAGCTTCCTCTGCGTTTGCCTGTGCAACGATATCATCTAGAGCCAAGAGCGTAGCTTGCAGGCGTTCTCTGAAGAACAAAACACCCTTCCGCTTGCTATACCACCGAGTATCACAGGATTGTGGCATCTCAAGGACTGTTTGATTGAGCCTTACTTGCGTCGCCTCGGAGAATCCCGCTCTTTTCGCAGAGTTCCACTGGAACCTCTGAATCGCCTGCAACACGTCAAGTAGGTCGCGTACGCATCGGATGCGGGAACAGACGTCGACGAGCACCAGATTGAGTCGATGACCATGACAGTGAATGTAGGGACATTCAGCCCCTACGAGGCTCCGGATGCGAGCCTGAACGCCATTCGAACACCCGGACATAACTGAGCCCGTCGTAGGACTGCCCTACGCATCTCTTGATCTCTATTCCACTTCTATCCATCAGAGATACGACTCTCTCTATTATAGCTGCCGAATCAAACTTCTCTAATCGCAGGAATCCGATAAAGTGTTCAATGATATCCGCCCCTCGAACTTGGCGTAGGCAGAGGCTCAGCTGCTCTGAACCACATGTATCTCGAGTTTCATCGGCCATCATCGCGAAGCAGGTTGAAGACTGTCGCACCTCTCCTCGGATATTTTCGAGCACCGAAGACTTGCAAATTCCAAGCAGCTCGTTCTGTATGGAATGATGCTTGTATAGTGCGTTACGCGGCAGCTTGGTGACATCCGCAGCGAGCTCAGGACATTTCTTCTGTATGTAGGTCAGCAACTCAAGAGAAGTCCCCCGGTTCACCGAGTCCAGGAACCCTCCACTTTCTCGAAACTATTTCTTTCCGGTGAGAATCTACCTGGACCGAGACCGCGCCGGTCCTTCTCGAGAGGGTGTAGGAATCGTATTTCTCCACGGAGAATTGATGATCAGGACTTCGCCATATTCAAGCATTCCGTGTTGAAGTTCGATTCCTTCTCCGAGAAATGTCGACATACGAAGCAGGGAGCCGAGTTGGTGAATATTCGAGGTAAGAGAATCGTGAGTACCAGGCCGACTTTAAGCTGCGAGATTGCGATCCATCCGTCTTCTTAGCATAAGTTCCCGAGATAGGCTGGACTGGATCTCAATCCGGATTCAAGATGACATCACAAGTCGGGAGACCTTCGCTTCCATCATCGTCCGGGGTATTGGTTAGATCTGGGAAAAAGAAGACCGCTGTCGATTCGCCTGTCTTACCGATGTTTGTCTCCTTCGGAAGTTCTTCGGCTTCCCTGGCATCCTCCAAGAATATCGAGATCGAGGAGCCCTCAGGCGTCAAGGTGTGACTTTCATTCCATCTAGAAGCTCAAGCGGAGGCGAAAGCAGCCCTCTCGGGCTTCATGGATCCGGAGTCCGACGAAGCTAAAGCTTAGCTTCATGCTGGCGCCGCCACTTCTTGGCGCCAGTGCCGATTCGTATCTTCCCATAAGAACCTAATGAGAACATTCCTATACCATGGAATCTATCGTCGCGGTAGCCAAATGGCTCGGGCATCGTTTATTAAAATCGGTCCATCGATTCATGTACACATTCGTTCTAAGACTTCCTGCTTGGAGTAACGATGGTCAATGCCTAGCCAGAGCTGGAGCACCAAAATCAAGGCACTTTTGATTCGACCATTTGAGCGAACGGAAAGTGGTGAAACATAAATGCCGGAGCTCCCGAACTTCTCTCACCTAGAGGCGATGCGCAGAGGTTTCCCCTACAGAAGGTGATATTCTTCTGTGGGAGGAGTTCTCACCAGAGAGGGTGGATAGTTTTCGGAACTCTTCGCATTTGAATGCTCCCCCGCAGGGACGACGTCGGTGGTGGTTTCGGTGAGACCTGTGTTCGAAGGCAACGGAGCACTCCCGAAGGGCAATTCTCCCGCACGCTCCCGTAAATGCACGATGGGGCCTTCTTCCCAATCGATGCCCGCGAGGCGGATGAAGCGCACGTATGGTTTCTCTCCACTATGACCGAGCTCGCCGATCCCAGCGATCAGACGAACCTCCTTCGGCACTCATCCACCATACGAGAAAGCTCCCACGTCATCGTGCAATGCCGAATTCCTCCGAGGCTGGAACTTGCTTGACAGCTCTCAGGGGAACTTTTGGGAGCTCATGAAGTTCGGATATGAGAATTGCATTGAGAATATCTCCCAATCGAAAGAGTTGGCCAGTCTCCGAGAGACCGATCATCTGTCGCGTGGTAGCACTAAGTCTCGAGAGATGTCCGCGTTCTTCCCCGATTCATGTGCATGTGCGCATTTCTCGTGTTCAACCATTTACGAAATCGTCGCTTTCCCCTGGCGGGGAACGATACCTCTTTTTACAGCCGAAGTTGAGGACATTCATGGGGGATTTTCTTTCACGTATTTGGGTGCGGTCGGAGACGAGCAGGCCGAGGCGGGAAACCGCTCACTGGAGTGACCCACGCTTTTCGTGCCGCCTATTGCTGCTGATGAGCACAGAATGATGGCTTGACTTTCGGCGTCCTCCATCGGACTTTTTCATGGATTCCGCGTGAGGAGTAGTTTTGGGCCGCGGGTGGGAAGGGGGAATGAAGTCTTTTACATGGAGCCAGGGAACGAGAACGTAGAGAGGAGACGCGGAATCTCTAAGACCGACATTTGAAGAGCTATGGAGTTCGACATGGATAATGGACATGTAATGGACTGTAATGGAATGTAATGTAATTGGACATGTAAGGATATCGATAAGGGCATCAATATCTTTGCCGAGAGAGCTGACAGGAAGTTTTCCTTCAATCTCTGATGATATCTTCACAGAGTGGGATTTGTGGCAGGCTGGGCGTTCTTCGCTTCAGGGGCACTGTTGTCCCACCATCATCACCAAGGGGATATTGGCGTGAGGGGAAATTGGCTTCGTCGTAAAAAAAAGGGGGGAATCGAATCAAACACGGCCTTCCCTCGAGACGACTTACGAGACGCACACTGGAGGCGGCGTCCAGGAAACCTCACATAGGGATGCAGGAGTAGATGTGCGTGGCCGCCTACATCCATATTTTTTCTCTCACTCTCGGCATGACCATCTGAGCAGGACGACCGACTCAATACCGGCCATGGCAAGCATTCATTCGTGAATTGAGTGAGGGAGACCGCCGTTGAATTCGTATCATTCGACTCCAGCGATGGAGAATGAGGGCCGCGTATGCCTCGCCCACGGCTCGTTACTGCCATGGCATGGCCAATACGAAGAAGTCCTTGCACGATTTGAACCTTGGGGCTACATCGACTCACGGACCCCTTGCGATCACTGAGAATGATTAGAGAGGACCGATTCTTCTGCCTTAGATTTGGATCCCTGAGGTGATCGGCAATCAGTCCGGAGTGGATAATAATAATGGTGAGAGCGGATTGGGACCGTGACAGGAAGATTCATGGATGTGATGGAACCGGGCCGCATCGGAGCTGCGATTCATCATACACTAGATACGGAAAATCTTCAGTCAGAGTACATAGCGACTGAACCGCGCGGATATGGACAGGAGTCCCGTCTGCTGTCACAGATCGGACACCGGGCACGTGCGCCGGCCGCGCCACAGATGCCGGTCGGCCTTCTCAAAACCGCCAAAACAGAAATCGAGCGCGTCGATTGGAGGATCAGTCCATATCGGCCGGCCTCAGGACTTCCAATCTATCGGAGAATCTTTCAGCGAGCGCGATAGGTAGATTCGCGAGTCCAGCGGGGCGACAGAACGGGCTGGAAGAGAATTTCAATGGTCGATGTCCCCGCCAATTCAGCGGGTAGTCCAAAACAGCTGTGAAGCTCTGTCGGCAGGCAGAGATGTTTTCTCCACAAAGTCGTGAGTTCGCGCACCCTAAGGAGATAGATTTCAGTGAGTTGACGGTGTCTCCTCCAGCCTCATTTATGGCTCGTCCGAGTGTCCCAATTCAATATTCCGAAGGAAATTCCATTTCAGAAATCGCTCTCATGCTGTGATGTCTTCAAGCATTTCGAAGACGGTGATTCTCGGCCTGTACAAAAAACTGGCTCGCTACGGGCAGAAGCTCGAGTTCACAGACAAGGAGTATTTCCAGAGAGAGATACGGCTGAAGTTCCAGAAGCCCCGTGCGTCACCGGAAGACTTGAGTTTCGCTGTCAAAAAAGGTCAAAAGTTCTTGGAATTGAAACGACTCGTTTAGTGGAGTAGGCGACCGCATCAAGAAGTCTGAATCGGTGCTTCGGAGCTCTGCTATGGCTCTCTCGCTGCTGGCGCGTTTCGCTGTCATCCCGAGACATCCCGTCTCGATCACAGCTCTGAGGTGTGCTTCGAAAAAAGTCGATAAGTCGAGAGTTCCAGTCATCGGAGAAGAAGATATCATCGAGCAGTTTGTCAAAGGCTCGGGCCCCGGAGGACAGAGCGTCAACAAAACCGTCAATTGTGTCGTCTTGTGTCACAGACCGACCGGTGCGTACCGTGGGCGAGAGGATGTTTATCGAGCTCGAGAGACTCTGTTGGAGCTGACTGAGGCAATAACTAAGCAGGAACTTGAGCATTAGTCCGTACCCGTGAGCAATGAGATCGTTTTCTAATCAACCCACGAGTTTTCAGGTGTCGTAGTGCGCTGTCATGAGTCTCGACTGCAACACCAGAATAGGAGGATGGCTCGGCAGCTCCTCGTTGAGAAAGTCGACGACTTCATAAATGGCGAGATGTCGGTGCGGAATCAGAAGATACGGATAGAGAGGGAACGGAAGATCAAGGCGGAGCAGAGAGCCAAGAAACTTCGCGAAAAGAAACGTCTCGAGAAAGAAGAGAAGCAGCGCCTGCAAGAGGAAGAAGAAGAAGAGGAAGGACTTGTCGACCGGTGGACGAAGTTCCAGAGGGCACAAGCAGAGAAAGAAAGCTCGTAGAGATCAGCCAACCTAGTTCCATTGCGAAATTGAACTAAATAAAAAAAATCTGTTGTTCTGGATGAGACGCTCCGATGTATCCTGAATCTGCAGAATGTTGTCTTTACTCCAAGCGCTGTGGCGTGAACTTCGGAATCCTCGGATCCTTGCAGAACAGGAGAGCCCCTTCTGCTCTAAAGAATTGACCCACAAATGTCCACCTTAATCTATGAATACATAAATGATACTAACACTGATGAATGTGCCCGAGAGACGAGAACACCGTCTGTGAGATTCGATTGGAGCTCAGTGGGAGCGTTTTGATGGGACAGCCGGCACTATTGGCTCCCCCGTTTACCTCTCGGTCAATCGAGGGAATGAATACGCAATCGATGAACTGAATGAGAATTTCATCATCGGTCAAACCCGGCTTTCTGAGGGTATGAGTGAAGCTACCAAGTCTGAGACCTGCAAATTCAGATGGGCGTTCACTTTGAACGCCATCAAACCTTCACCCATCTCGGAACCCTAGACCACAAGATCTCAACCTTCTGTCCGTGCAACCCTTTGGGCTGGCAGAAATATCCGTGCACCCCAAGATCCGAAAGCCGTTTGATATTGCGCACGGTATAGCTTCGAGCTCACCTACATCATTGTGCCTTGATTCGATTTCTCTCAATACACGACGACCTTGACGTATCAAATTCAAGCATTCCCTCAGCAGTTTTCTCTTGCTGGGATCGTCCTCGCGAGTTCCGATACCTCAGTGACCAAAATTTCGAGTACTTCCCGAGCACCCTCTGAAATATCCCAGGCAACCTTTTTGAGAAACACTGCCCTGAACTGAAAATTACGTAGCAACGCCGGGCGCAGCGAACTGTTCCTCTTTAGGTCTTGTTGGTCGTGAGTGAAATGAAAGATTTCGGCATGAAGGAGCGAAGGGGACGGGAATTACGACCGTATCTGCTGACCAGCTGAGGCCACCCCCTGCACCCAGCGAGTACGCATCGGGCCGAGGTCAGCTCGTGACAAGCGATTGGACGAGCCATCGCGACGACAGCCTTGAAGCTCGGGTCCGGTGGGTAGAAAAAGGGATCTTTCTAGCTTCATCCCCACATTGCGACCATGTCAAGGTCGTCCGTTGACCGCGTAGTATGGATGGCCGTGCTCTCAGTGGAGGAATTCGGTAGAGCAGCGTTCTTCTTCCCTCAAGCCTCCGCTCGCGCTCAATCTCGACCCTTACATTCTTTCGAAATACTATAGAATACAGATGATGCCTCGAACTAGAGGATTCGCCTTGGTCGGGGTCGATCTTTTTCAGAATAGTGGCCCTGAAGAGGGCCGTTTTTCTTAGCAGCAGATCAGCGATCTACTTGGAAGAGGTGTATTTGGTGACAGCCTTGGTTCCTTCAGAGACGGCGTGCTTGGCCAACTCTCCGGGGAGAAGGAGCCTCACAGCGGTCTGGACTTCCCGAGAGGTGATGGTCGACCTCTTGTTGTAGTGGGACAGACGAGAAGCTTCGGCGGCGATACGCTCGAAAATGTCGTTCACGAACGAGTTCATGATAGACATGGCCTTCGAGGAGATACCGGTATCGGGGTGGACTTGTTTCAACACCTTGTAGATGTAGATGGAGAAAGATTCCTTCCTCCTGCGCTTCTTCTTCTTCTTGTCCGTGGCACGGACGTTCTTCTGGGCCTTACCGGCCTTCTTCACGGCCTTTCCACTGGCTGCAGGCGGCATCGTTCGAAGCGACTTCAAACGAGAGTGGGGTACACCACGAGAGCGTTCGTATTTCAATGTTCGGACTGGGGCGAGAAGAGCGGAACTTCTGCCGCCTTTTGAGAGAGGGGTTGCTCCGCTCGAAGAGGATGGCCGCCTGGCCTGATATATAAACGCGAGAGCCTGAGCCCGGAGCAATCGTCAGTTCTGAACTAACGTACTATCAACATGTCTGGACGCGGAAAGGGAGGAAAGGCAAAGTCGAAGGCGAAGACCCGTTCATCTCGTGCGGGACTTCAGTTCCCCGTCGGTCGTATCCACCGTCTCCTCCGCAAGGGAAACTATGCTGAGCGTGTCGGTGCTGGAGCCCCCGTGTACCTAGCCGCTGTGCTTGAGTACTTGGCTGCTGAAGTTCTCGAGTTGGCAGGAAACGCTGCTCGTGACAACAAGAAGACCAGAATCATCCCCCGTCATCTTCAGTTGGCCATCCGTAACGACGAAGAATTGAACAAGCTCCTGTCCGGTGTGACAATCGCCCAGGGTGGTGTGTTGCCCAACATCCAGGCTGTCCTCCTCCCAAAGAAGACCGACAAGACTGCTGCCTAAGCTGTGCCCCTGAGGCTGAAAAACGGCCCTTTTCAGGGCCACCATAACATACGAGATCGACTCGCTCGCTTCCTGCTTCGATTTAAAGATTTCCATTCCCGATATACCTATCTGTCGATTCCCTTCGGACTCCAAGAGACAGTCGACGAGTCAGTCGAGGCTCGAGCATCCGGACTTCTGGTTTTCGAGCTACCGACATGAAGATGACTAGATACAGGTTTCACTGAAGCTTCCCCTAGAGACTTCTCCTCTGGTACCTGCTTCTAGCTGTTCTGAGATCGAACCCGCTGTGTGCGAAGCGCCGTCGCGCGCCGCGATAGAGCGTACCGAGCTCAGTTCGCTGTTCAAGCTTCTGAGAGGTAATAATTTTTGGAGCGGTACTCTCCTTCGTGGGATGAGGTCAATGATAATTAGCCGGATGTCGGAGAGGCGTAGTGAGAGAGATGAGTCGCGAATTTCCTCAATCTGCCCTTTCAAAGTTCCCTCCAGCCTAGCCAAAGAGCTGCCAGGACACCGACATCCAGGAACGCTGGGTACCTTTTTGTTGAGATTTTGCGTCACAACATTCGTACCTGTCCGAATCTAACACTTTTCAACCCCTACTATCCTGCGGGCGCTTGCTCGAGGTTAGAAGAGCGTAGGGAAAAGAATGTGCATCCGTGCCGAATGCTCAAAATATAACGCAGGATCTTGGCTCTGGACGCTTGCTCGTCGGTGACACTGAGTCTGACGTCAGCCCAATCACGTCTAGGGTCTATCAGGGATCTAGAGCCAGTCCGAGGTTTCTCTGGGTGCACGGCATTCACTGTATGTACACAAGTCCCGAAAGTCACGGTAGTCAAAAGCGTATGTGTGCGGACGATCTGAAAAGCTTCGTCCAAGATCCAGTCGGCCACCGACCCGATTTCGAGGCTTCATCCACTCGAGACATCAGGATGCCCACATTAAGGCGAACACCAGCCTGAGGAGCTCCCTATTTTTCTCTGTCGCGGGACGACCAGGAGAGCTTTCATAAGTACATATAGTATGTATAGAGTATAGAGCATAGAGAGCTCGTTGGAGCACCCTAGGAGCGCCTCAGTACAGCTCTGATCGGGATCAATATCGCTCGAGATATCGATTCCGCTGTGTCAAGTCGTCAGTTCTCTCTCGTCCCATGAGCTTTCTCCCGGCTTTGAGTGGCATTCGATGTGCTGAGCTCACTGATAAGATGTGAATGGATCGGAATTCGGTTTCATCGGCCTCATGCCTGAATCATATATCTCATGCATATCCTAGACTGCCTGTTCGCGATTCCGGCGGGGCAAGATCGAAGCATCCGAGGAGAAGACCGCTCCTCTCCCTGAAGGTGGAACTGCCTCAGGCTCTACTGTTGATAACGGATAATGGATTCCTCCGCTTGGGGATGGTCCAATTCGCTTTGGAAGGGGAACGAACCGCGGAGAATGAACCACCCTTCAAAACGCAATTCCCCACTTCCGTCAGGCTCCATACCGTTTCTGCATGAGCCCCTTCCAACTCGATGAACTATTCGTCGGGAAGAACGCGGAGCTGCCTCACCGAATATTGGAAATCCTCCACGATTCAGGAGATCCCAGACAAATCGAAGATAGAGGAGGAGGCCACGAGCAGCCTCGATGAGTATTCTCAATTGTCACGTTCAACTATCCTCCAGCCTCATAGACATTCATGCATATAAGAAGAGATCAGCGAGCTCTTATGCGGCTACTGACCATCATCAGAGCACCAGCCGCAGCTACTACGTTCGGGTCAACCACGCTGAGAACGGACTCCCGGACAAACTGATTAGAGAACGCCCCGTCGATGTCCTCTTCGCAATCCTAGGATCGCCCTCAGGCTCCTTCGCGAAATCTAGCCAGACTTGTGTCTTGCTACTCGAAGCCAAGTCAACTTTGATCGCTTCCGCAGTGCGAATGATTCGGTTCCCTCTACGTACCTGGAGGAGAGCCCAGCCGATCCCCGTAGACTTACGTTCCTCTACGCTGGACGCTGGGACGCTGGGGTGGACACTGCACCGTCGACTAGAGCTTGTACTGTACAGTGACAGAGACTTGAAATAGCGCGCCGCGCCATGATCAGTGCCACCTGGTGGCGTTTATACAACCACTGCGTAAATTATAGTCTGCTCGCTCTTGCTGAGCGCGTATTCCACAGAACACGGACAGGAATGGATAGTCACATAGGAACTTGAAGCCGCTCTGTCGCCTATTGTCACGGCGATTCTACAATCTGAGTACATCAGACGGGATTGACGGCTGTGGTTCATGGAGTCCTATCGATGGGGGCCGTCCGCCCACCCAGAGTGAGTTCACCCAGCAAGTGAGTCACATCTCCAACGTCCGGAGTTTGTGATTTTCAGTTTCTAAAGGTTCAGATCACGGGCTCATCTTCGGAAGGGCCAGGTGCTCAATCTGGAAGTCCTTGTATCTGCTTAGAAAGGAATCGCTGTCAATGTCGGATACTTGGACTGCGAGTTTCCGGACCGAAGTCGGATGGGGACCCGCAATCGCCATTGAGCCGGCTGGTGGGTCGGAGTTTCCAAACTCGGCTGGAATTTCCCGATCAGGACTCACTGGACTCTCTGGAGTGTATTCTGTATTTTGGCATTCTCCCCCAAGGAGAGAACTTTCACCAGGAAGCTGAGCACCATCGTAAATGCTCCCGATCACAATCGGCTCTGGGTGGAAAATCGCGCAGGATCAGGCAGACAACCCACCCGCATATCTCTCCAAGGGAGCCTAAGAGTGGACGAATTCGAGAATTCAGACTCTATCTCTCGATCCGTGGGAAAAACTACTGCCGACTTTGAGTTTTATGCAGTCCCCAAAGTTCTTGGGCAACGTCGGCGTGTGGGACAATATCGAGGATCAACCATGGATTTCTTCCGCGATCTTCAAAATACCAGGAGAAGAAACGGGATGGACAGCGGAAGGAGAGGCTCGTCGACCGGCGACTTGGGGGACGAGCCGGTGACCGATACTCGCCGCTCGAGTCGGGGACCCAACGAATCGAACTGAACCTACACAGGGGACACTACGGAGGAAAGGCGTCGATATTTGGGGTGATCTAAAACTCCGTCCGCTGGAGAGGATTTCTTTCTGTCCCCCAGCGACCTACCGCTTTCGACGTTCCCACAGATTCGCGCCAGAAGTACCTACTCGAAATTAGTCCCTCCGAGCGCAGGCCGGCCATCGAATCGTCGTTGGACGGCATCGTTGCCCGTCATTTTACAAGTGGAACCGCCTCTCTCCAGCGAAGCTAAGCTTCTCCGTCGACTGCTTGAATCGGCGATCGACTTCCCCTAGTTTTCGGAGGTACGTTCTCGGGCGGTCCGACTGGGCATCGAATATTTTTCGAGGGACCCACGTACACCGCAAAATACGGACGATGATAATCAGTCAGCTCAGAACAGGGACTGAAGGGACTCTTGGGCTACGCGCCCTAATGATCGAGTCGAGCCCCAGTGTATCGTTATTCGTAATCTCTTCAAGAAAAGACTCAGCGAGGGACGATCACTGCGCATCTTTTCGAAGCCTATCGCTAAAGAAAGGATTTGACTTTCAATTGGAGCAGCTCGGCATAGCCTCGATGTGGTCATTCTGGGAGAGGGCTTTCCGAGCGCTTCTCCCACCGTGAACCGTAAATAGAGCGCCCTCATGAGCATCCGTGGTCGCATTCACTGGAAATGAAGCGTTTCGAAACTATGGATAGGCGACGAGCTCGGGATCGTAAAAGAGGATTCCCAGCGAAGGATCCAGATCGATCTCCGGCTGACGATAGATGTCGACTGTATTTTGTCATTCTAAATTTACGCCTTTCAGCGTCCGTCATTCGCTGCTGAAGTTCCCCTTGCAGCAGAGCGGATCCTAGAACGAGTGTCGTGCTTGAGTCATTGGGAATCGTCGAGCGGAGATAGCCTTTCGTCCCTCGCTTCGTGACAACTCAGTGATCTTGCATCTGAGCATTACCACTCAGAATGCTCGAGGTGAGGATCGAGTATACAGCCCGGCTGGTTGGAGACCCGAGGGGATTCCTGACATGGATTCCATGGTTGATGGGAGTCTGATTAATTCTAGGTTGGAGAAATAGCTGAGAACCCCAGCCATATCCAAGAAGAGCCGCCGCCCTCGAGCAATAAATCGCGACTGTCGAAGTCAACCGCAGAACCAGATCCGAAACCTCCCCGAGAAGCAACATTGGCGCAAACATACGGAGAGATGAACTCCCTGCGGAGATACGTGTTGGAGATCATCCTCATGTGCTACATGTTTTCAATCATGATCACGAAGATTCCGCAAACGCAAATTTTCCTTGAAAAAGCTTGTGAGCTCAATCTCCATCTGAACCAGTCGGTCTGTCATCACATGCACGACCAGGAAGACGAGCCATTTTATAAAGCTGCGGCGAGAATCACAAAATCTATCGGACTCGCGAAAGACATCGCCACAACACTTCCGGGTGAGTCTTCTCGTACTTGAAAAAAAATTTCGGCCGGATCCAACTGGGACCGAAGACACTTATTCCCGCCGAAGACGATGATAACCGAAGTCTTTCATTCTAGGTGCGGTAGCTTCTGTCGTGGCTGGACAGTATATGACTCGTTACGGAGCCAAAGCTCCTCTGCTGTTGGCGCTCATCGGGAGTGTAGCAACTTCCTCGGGTGACTTGTACACTTTCTTCAACAGGGGCATCCCTCTCTATGTCAATGTTCTCACCGCGAGCCCGGAAGCTGTGACGGGTGAGCATTAGAAATCGATAAGTCAGTATGAGAGTTTGAATCTATGTGGGAAGTGCATCAGATGGCAAGAGTTAGAAGATCGTTTGGTATCGGCGATAGTCATCATCTTCCTCGCTCAGGGAACGAGCCTATTCTCGGCTGTGCCTTAAGGAAAAAACATGCGTCCTCATGTGCGTTCCCTCTGATGCAGAACAAAGCGATTTGATGCAAGCTCAAGGAGTTTCCTTCTAGGTGGAATCCTCGTATGCCTGACGGCAATATTCACGAACGTCACCGAGACCTGCCCGGCGGAGAAGAGGAAAAACCGTTTTCTGATGATTCAATTCTTCATCTTCCTCCCGGTTCTCCTCGCAACATTTCTAGGAGGACGCTTGTACCGCTCGTATGGTGTCGAAAGTCTGGCGCTGGCGGTCTACTTAGGTTTCGGGTTGTGTCTGCTGATTCTCTTTTTCTTCTATGAGGACTCGCGTGCGTATAATCTCCTTGAAGCTGAATATCTCCTGATCTCTGAACTGCCATTCCTTCAATGTGTGATCCCAGTCATTCTGGAACCCACAAATCTCTGTCTTCTTGGTCTCGAGAGAGAATAATTAGATTCTTCCTTGCAGCCATTTACGCAGAATCGAAGAGAGACACACTGCTTCAAGCTTGGAAACATTCGACGAGCTTGGAAACCTTCAAGCGGAGCTACTCATATCTGCGCAGGAAGCGACCTGGTCACGCGAGAGCTCAAATAATCTCGATGTTCTGCTGTCTGATGGTTGGGGTGGTCGCATTCTCAGGTGAGGCGCAATCCCTCAAGGGGGGCAATTTTTTAGAAGAGTAGTTCAGCCCCAGCGAACTGATCAATTAATTCAAGGGTAAACACAGTATATGTGTGTACAGACTACATTCTCTGAATCGTCGGTCATTTATTTGGTGGGAGTTAGAGCCAAATATTGTGAATTCACAGGGGCTGGAGATCTCGACCAGCTCTATGTGGCCCAAGCATTCAAATGGACGCCAGATGTCTATGGATATGTGAAGTCGGCCGTGATGTTGATCACCTACGTTCTGTCCGTGCCCTCGATGTTGATCTTAACGAAGGTCTTCAGATTCTCCGATCCGATGCTGGTGGCCATCGGGTTCGCTTCCATTGCGCTCAAGTCTTCACTGATGAGCGCTTTGAGCCTCGGAGTTTTCATGTACATAATTCGTGAGTACACTCAAGCTTCCAGTTGCTGAGCGAACGGGAGTGGTGGAGTTCTGCTGCCGATTCGGCCTGGGACTCAATGAACCTCCCCTTGAAGCCCTACCCTTCTCTTCCAGCGTCGATTGTGGGCCTACCGTTCCTGGTGGGCATCACGGCTATGCGCTCGCATCTTTCACGGCTTTTGGAACCTCATGAAGTGGCTGTGGTCTTCGCTCTGACGACAGCTTGCGAGCGGTTGACACCCACAATCGCTGATGTAGGACTGACGGCGATTTACAACGCGAGCAATGAATTCTTCCCGGGGCTTGCGTACCTCGTCGAAGGGATCGTGTTCCTAATCCCGCTGGCCGCTGCCTGGTGGGTTTCTCATGTATTCGCGTCGCTCCCCCTTTCTGTTCGATACCGGTTGTGCATCTTGAAAATAGAGACGGTATTAATTATGTGGTCTCTTTCTCAGTTTATGCTACAGGTGGACGAACTCGGAGGGATACCCACAGTACAAAGAATTGGAGGAGACCGTCGATTCCGAGGAACAAGCTTGAAGGCTGTGATCGGTGTGGATGAAATCTTAACATATCTCCGGTGAGCGGAGCTTCGCAAAGTTCGTCAATGCCGTACCTGAAGCAGGCGAGGCCCGGGGCGAAGCGGAAGAATCAAATTCCGACTCGAATCGTTGCCGCGCCCCGTCGGAAGCGGCGCCCGGGGCACGTGCCTCCCCTCCCCATAAAATGCGCCACCGGGATCGGTCTACAATCGCTCAGTGCCTGAACTCCGAATGTAGCGCCCCTTGTCTAGTCAATGCCTAAATAAATTGTGAACAGATGAATACGAGTCGGTCATTATTATTCCTGCGATGAGTAATCGCTAATCGTAGAATGATCTCGACAGCCCCTGGAGCAGGATTATTCTGTCCATTTTTGAGATATAGGCGATTTCAGGCTTTGCCCGCTCTGACGCATACCGCTCACAGGAAAACGCTGATCAGAGAAATCGTTAAGGCACCTGTCCTCTCATCCGTCTCCATGCACTTTGTTTCCCAGAATGCATGAGAGTTTCCTTCGAATCGGGGAGGTTTGATTCCATTTCGTCGGTCTCCATCGTTCACCGAGGACAGATAGAGATTTCCCGGGATTTACGATCCTCGTACCCCTAACTCACGGCGCTCCTTCCGCGCAGCTCCGCCGTACTCGCTGCCCTCAAGCGACTATTCGAAACCAAAGACACGGCCAAGCTCTCCCAAGAGCTCAATCGGGCTTACCCCGAATCCCCGGATCTCAAGTTTCTGTCCCCGGAACCACTCGCCGATGCCGAGGCCTACTTGAAAACGAGCGAGTCTTCCTTCGCCTTGGAGGCAGATTCATTCTTGGTCAAACTCGCCGAGAACCAGACTCTCCTGGCCAGACCGTTGACAGATGCCATGTCTTACCTCGCCGAAACTCGCACCCCGCTCGACTTCAAGGTCCTGGCTGAACGCCTCTCAGACATAGCCAAGACACTGATCGTCAGCACGAAGCTCAACGAAACAGCACGCATGGAGTTAGCGTGTTACGCCTTCAGAGTTCCCGTTTCGGTAGCTAAGACAGGACGTGGCGTGTCGTTGCTCGGGGCTTCCTTCGCTGAAAACGTGGAGCGACTCCGCAAAGACAAAAAGGTGCTGCTCGGCGACGAGCCTCCCTGTTCCACTCGGCACCGGCTGTATCCCCGCAAAGGACTAGGGCAAGATCGAGGGAGCCGTCGCACCCCGTGGCGTCAACCACACCGGAACGGACACGACTGGAATCAGAACAACTCGTGCCAGAATCCGTCGGCTTCGAAGGCCAATGCGTCTCGAAACGTCCCCGCCTCCTCCACTAGCGACAACGCGACACAAGCGCAAACCTCTGATACCAATTTCACATCACTTATGGAATACGCGTCCGCCTCCGTCACCATCAGGTGCGGGTCCCTGTGAGAAACAGTGACTTTATGTAGATCGACGGTGAGATCGTGCTGCTAGGGGCGGGCATGGGAGGGAGCCCTCGGAAGAGGATTCCGTCGTTCTCATGGAATTACAGTCAAGTCTTCCCAATCCGTGGTCGACTATCTGATATCTTTGACGGACATCCTTACCGGTGAGACGATTCGCACGACTATCCGTAGTTGTATTCCGGCTCGAGTTTCAAATTCGCTCTATATTAAACAAGCTTGGTGCAACGGATGATCAATTTTTCGGAGAGCTACTACAGTACTTTCAGGCGATGATCTTTTTGAGTTTGGTGGCCCTGAAAAGGGCCGTTTTGTTTTTGCTGTCGATGGAGAGGATGAAGACGATTACCCTCCGAAACCGTAAAGGGTACGTCCTTGTCTCTTGAGAGCGTAGACGACGTCCATGGCAGTGACGGTCTTCCTCTTGGCGTGCTCGGTGTAGGTTACAGCGTCACGGATGACGTTCTCGAGGAAAACCTTGAGGACACCACGGGTCTCTTCGTAGATCAAACCAGAAATACGTTTGACTCCACCACGACGTGCCAAACGACGGATGGCGGGCTTCGTGATACCCTGGATGTTGTCACGCAAAACTTTACGATGACGCTTGGCGCCACCCTTTCCGAGACCTTTTCCTCCCTTGCCGCGTCCAGACATGATTCTTCGTTCGAATGAGAAGTTGTAGCATCAGTAGCGGAATGGCGTTATATAGCTGCTCAGAGCACCGGCTCCGCCTTCCATGTGGCGAGGGTCACCGCCATTGGGATCCGGCTTTCTGAGAGGCTCCGGCTCTAAGATGTGGGCCGAGTAGAAGAACCCTCTTTCAGGATCAATCGCGTTCCGAGGGTGTGTGGCGCTCGGAGCGGTATTTCGAAATGCCGTCAGTCTCCGAGATTGAACCCTCAAAGCAGCGTCCATTTGCCGGGAATTCCTACTGGAGAACCCGTCTCTCTAGGTAGAAAGGGCTTCGCTGAATTCCTCAGATCCGTTGCGCTCGAAGACTTGAGCCCCTCTTGTTTTCACCGAGATTCGCCTCTGTTTCGGATTTGTCTTCTAGGCTCTGGGACTCCCCGAGCGTTCTGCGCACGTATCGGCGGCATCCCAGAATCACTCGACCAAGGAGTATGCCGCTGGATCCCGTCGAGCCTGCGGCCCTTGGATTTCCTGATTGCGAGAAGAGTTCCGCGACATCGAGAGAGCGACCAGGAGTTTCACCAATCCTGTGGTCGGGTAGTCGGAATGTGCTGCTATTGACGCGGCCAATAATCACGGTTTCGGCAGTGGACCTAATGAACAGCTCCAGTAGGAGAGGGATAGAGAGCGTTTGTACATGGAAACTCTCTATCAGAGATTCCGGAGAAAAATTCTCCGCTGCTCATTTCGCAGCGTCATCGATGGGAAGGCATGCGCGTCCTATCGAGAACGTCTGGTGGGAAATTCCCGACGACTTCTCGGTTTGAGGGTCCGCTCATATCTGTCATACTATGCGATGGAGGGAACTCCGGGACCGCAAGCTGATCTATTTCTGCGGAATTTCTCCGCATCGGAATCTTGAGTAGTGCACAAAGCGGGCTGAGGTTCTCACGAAGTCACTGGGAGAAGGACGCGTCAAATTTTTCAGGAGATCATAGGTGGGGGTTCAGGATCCCAGATCCGGTTTCCTTTCGTCGCTTAGAGCTACTAGCCGCATTGATCGCTGTTCGCTTGAAAACCTCCTTGGTGGAGCGAATGCGCACCTGCGTCGACACCGTTCGCTTCTACACGGACTCAATAATCGCCTTTCGTTGGGCGACCTCTGCGAAACCAGGTGCACGGAAAACGTCCGTGAGCAAGCGCGTGCGAGAGATTCAGGCAGGATCAAACCGGTAAGAGTGGTTTCATCTTAGTGGAAAGGTCGACTTATCTGATCCCGCAACTCGTGGCATCGGCGCCGAGGCATTGGTCGCATCAAAAGAGGAGTGGTCTGGGCCATGTTGGCTTCGCTTGCCTTCCGACTAAGGACCATTGTCACAACCCGTGCTCGGTGACAGTGTACTCGAGCCGATCCGTGGGGAGATCCGCGGTGTCGTTGCGTCAATTCTGAAGAGTCAGCCGCTTATTGATCTCACTCAGACATCACAGTTTTGCAGGTCGAGCGATCAGGGTAGTCGCGAACGTGTAGCTGTCCGCATCGCGATCACAACGGGCTCCGATTCCGGGGAGACGATTCTTGAAAACGCGGGCCGAGAACATACTCATCCGGGAGACTCAGCTGGAACATTTTGAGAGCGAGATAACTTCCACGGAGGCCGAAGATCGGGTCGCGGGCTGGACTAGGCTCAAATCATTGGAGCTCTCCATCGACACGGACGGGCTTCTCCGAGTTAAAACGAGACTCACGCTGGGACCGTTCTAAACCTACGACGAGATGAACCCAATCGTAATCCCGGGTGAGTCTCGCTTCGCACTGCTCCTCATCATAGACGCTCACCGCACGAACGCTCACTACGGAGTCGCGGACGTGTTGTCCCAGCTGCAACGTCGGTTTTGGATTACAAGCGTAAGACAAATCTTCAAATTCATTCCGCACCGGTGCGTGACCTGCCGAAAACGCGCCGCTCACTTCGAGCTAGTCAAATTTCAGTCAACCCCTCAAACGCTGCTCGCGCTGAGGCGATTCCTCGCAGCATACCCAGCTTTCACGCAAATCATATCCGACAATGGAGCTCCGAGAGTCAAAGCCGTCACCGATTTACCGTACATCCTCCAATGGCAGCCCCCTCCAAATGGAAGCCCTTCTCTAACAGAGGCCCCCCTGCCGGGGCTTTTGAGAAAAAAAAAGCCCCCCTCCAATAGAAGCCTCTCTCCAATAGGGGCTCCTCTCCAATGGGAGCCCCTCTCAACCGGCAGACCCCGCACTGCCGGAGTCGGCTGAGTAAAAGCTGACGCGATGGAATCTGGTCTGCGGCGCCCAGGGATTTCAACCCAGACCGGGGAGACGCTCTCTTCCAGAAATCCATCATCACTTTTCCAGAGCAAGATTTCTCTTGTAACATTAGAAGCCCCCCTCCAATAGTAGCTCCTCTCCAGTAGAAGCCCCTCGCCGGAGGTATTTGAGAAAATAGAAGCCCGGGTCGCTATTGGAGGATTTACGGTAAAAAGCCTCTTCTACTCCGGGAAACATCCAGACGCTCATGAGTTTTTGGCTGGACGTTCCATCGATTGGAATTTTATCTGTCCGCGATCCCCCTGGCACGGCGGCTTCGTCGAGAGCGCCGTCGGCTTGATCGAATCTGCGCTCATCAAGACGTTAGGGCGCAGTCTCATCGGCTTCGAGGAGTTCCGGACGATTCTCTGCGAGCTTGCCGGTGTGATTAGCGAACGACCTTTCAGCCTTGTTTCGTCTGATGCAGGTGCGCCCTCCGCCATCACCCCTGCCCACTTCTTGCGGGTTGGCTCGCGTTACCCATTACTGGCTCAGACAATACCGGTCGATCAGCCGCGTAGTGACGAGCTGTTCAGTCCGCACGAACTGCGGAAGGGTCTCTCCGCTCGCACAAACAATTTCAAGAACCTTTCAGTCCGCTAGTTCCGAGAATATTGGTCCCTACTGCGTTCGGCAAATACAGCGAAAGGAAAACGATCTCCAGCAATCAAGGCGGCGACGTCTGCGTTCTCCGTGGGGAAAATGTGGCTCGCATCCGTTGGTCCTTGTTTCGGATCCTGGAGGCTCATCCAGGACGAGTTGGCCTGGTCCGCACGGTCAGGTTCAGCAATGAACGGATCTCGCGTCGTGCCGCCCAGCTGTTGTTCCCGCTGAAAGCCCACGTTTCATCATTCGATGTTCCGATAACCGCCTACGCCGGAGAGGCCCAGGATTCGAAGCCAAATACCGTTGCTCACCTATTACCCGTGGGTGAACCGTGTTCCTCGGAGATGTAAATCTCAGCGAATCTGAATATCTGCGGTTTCTAGGCCCGGTCGGAATGTTGTACAGTCGTGAACTCAGTTGTCGTGGTTCACGCTTGGTTTTGTCTCATTCTGGTCGGACAATTGTGATGCCTTGGATAATGAGCCGCGACGTATGAAATGCAAAGCCTTTCGGGTAGTGTTTCGATTACTCTAAATGACTCCCATTTGGTTAACCCAATTCGGCTCTGTGACGCCGTCTTCTTCCCTCACAATGAATGTGCGTGTGTGCGCCCGAGCGCGTCACATACAGATCGGCATGTACCGTTTAAAATCGGGCACTCGCTTGTTCTCAGGTTTCTCCGAACAAACTCCGATTGCCATATCCGTAAATTGCAGATAAGCGTCCTGACTTCTTGAGCGAGTTGGGTAGAGTCCCCCGGGCAGAGTTCGTTTCGAGTAAGAGCGAGCACGCGAAATTCTCGCATAACCTCTCGAGCATGCTCGACGACCGTGATGCGCCTCTTTGATCTCGGACGTGTTCAGTTCTTCTTAGGGTGTTGTGAATGTAAGCTTCCAGCTCCGTTCAATGAAATCATCAACCGAGATCATTATGATTCAACTTCTCTGCGGCACCGGCGCCGGCGTTCAGGAGTGAGCCACATTCAAGCCGGATGAATAATAAAATCTATTGCATCCGACTACGCCGGGCGGAGGTCTATTGGGGCTATAGTCCCCTCTCAGATGATGCGTTCCCAATGTTATGGGTAATGGTCGTTCAACTGTCACGTCCCCGGAACTACTCATCAATTTTCAACTCCAATGTCGCGGCTTGAATTTCCCTTTCTTCTCCGGTCAGAACTTTTATCCAATCATTATTCGAACGGGGAGGCTCATGCGTAGAGAAATTTGATCTCATTAATTTTGGTGGCCCTTAAAAGGGCCGTTTTTTCCTTCAGGAGATTAGAATCTACTTCGATGAGGTGTACTTGGTGACAGCCTTGGTTCCTTCAGAGACGGCGTGCTTGGCCAACTCTCCGGGTAGAAGGAGCCTCACAGCGGTCTGGACTTCCCGAGAGGTGATGGTCGACCTCTTGTTGTAGTGGGACAGACGAGAAGCTTCGGCAGCAATACGCTCGAAAATGTCGTTCACGAACGAGTTCATGATAGACATGGCCTTCGAGGAGATACCGGTGTCGGGGTGGACTTGTTTCAACACCTTGTAGATGTAGATAGAGAAAGATTCCTTCCTCCTGCGCTTCTTCTTCTTCTTGTCGGTGGCACGGACGTTCTTTTGGGCCTTACCGGCCTTCTTCACGGCCTTTCCACTGGCTGCAGGCGGCATCGTTCAAGTCAAGCTCAAACGAGAGTGAGCAGCTCTGGTGGATCGTTTCTATTTGAGTGTTTGGACTGGGGCGGAAAGAGCGGAATTTCTGCCGCCTTTCGAGAGAGGGGCGGCTCCGCTCCGCGACAGAGCCCGCCCAGCTTCATATATAAACTGGGAGAGCTGAACTCAGAGCAATCGTCAGTTTCCAACTCACGTACTATCAACATGTCTGGACGCGGAAAGGGAGGAAAGGCAAAGTCGAAGGCGAAGACCCGTTCGTCTCGTGCGGGACTTCAGTTCCCTGTCGGTCGTATCCACCGTCTCCTCCGCAAGGGAAACTATGCTGAGCGCGTCGGTGCTGGAGCCCCCGTCTACCTCGCCGCTGTGCTTGAGTACTTGGCTGCTGAAGTTCTCGAGTTGGCAGGAAACGCTGCCCGTGACAACAAGAAGACCAGAATCATCCCCCGTCATCTTCAATTGGCCATCCGTAACGACGAGGAATTGAACAAGCTCCTGTCCGGTGTGACCATCGCCCAGGGTGGTGTGTTGCCCAACATCCAGGCTGTCCTTCTCCCCAAGAAGACCGACAAGGCTGCTGCCTAAGTCATTCTTCGGCAAAAACAAACGGCCCTTTTCAGGGCCACTAAACTCTAAAAGATCGATTCCACCTTCGAGCCTGCCGGTCGACGAACTGCATTGAAAATTGGGTAAAATCCGATTCACGCATTGGAGCTTCATTTTGTTGTTCACTGTCTAGCAAACACTCATTCCTTCCACTCTCGATGAGTTTCACAAATTTTTTCCGTCCTTAAGTCAAGTTGAAGTGCACTCGGCTTGTGTTATGCATAGTATCAGGGGAGACACAGCGAAGCGAGGGCGTCCATGGACCCTAGGTCGAATCAAATCACTCATGATTCATGATAACCGGCAGACGATCGACCCGAAAACCAAGCAAAAAGAAGGCTTATCAGAGGGTGTTTCTCCTTGAAGGAGGTCCGACGGATGAGGCCTATGAGTTTTAGAAGTGCTCATTCCTGCGGGGTATATCTAGTTGACTATTGGAGTACTTGGCTGCCGAATTTCTCGAGTAGGTACGAAATACCGCTCTTGGATACAAGAAGTCAAGAATAATCCGCCATAATCCCCGAACAAGCTCCAATCCGGAGTCGCAATCGCATAGTATGGTACATAATCGCCAGTACCTCTGGAATGTGAGCCGACCTCATTCACTCCTTTGCCGGCACAGAAGACATTCGACTCGCGGGACCATAAAATTGCGAGAGGGCTCTTCATCTCGATTTTTTTAAATTCCCATCGTATGTCAGATAGGAATTTCACCCATTCGGAGCACTATCGACCCACGAAGGTCTCCGTGCCCGCTCATGTGCTCATGTCGAGGCGAATCTGTGAATCTCTCCCATTAGTATGTGTTCTATTCCGAATTTCATAGACCCACACTGAACCCCCGATTCTTGCTGATTCTCATTCCGACGCGACGAGGGCGTTTCATATAGGAATCGTAGAAGATTGATGGGTCATTATTGCGGAGCAGGAATCAAGATACGATTTGTAGCTAGTATGATGATTGATGTGTGATGATTTCATACACTAGTTCAGCTGCGCGTCCGGGGGAAAGTCTACAGGGATAATGGAAGGAAGGGAATTCGAATGCCCCGATACGCTCTGCGACGATAGGCGAATATTGCTTTACTGGAATGGAGGAGCACACAGGAATGCAACTACTCGACGTCCAAGTTTACGCAAGTGATTGTATTGTATGACTGGAGGTGCCTTGTCGCAATCTGTTTTTATTATCGCGTATCGAAATTGTAAAACTAGTGACCGGAATGAATCGGCCCCAGTAAGGTAGTTCTTTATTCAGCCAATCCTCCAAAGGGAGCAGAGAGCTTGTTCAATGAATAAAAAACCAGTGCAGATCCGGGCGATGATCTCTTAAAGTTTGGTGGCCCTGAAAAGGGCCGTTTTTTCCTGCCGAAGGAGAGTTTGACGTGATTAACCTCCGAAACCGTAGAGGGTACGTCCTTGTCTCTTGAGAGCGTAGACGACGTCCATGGCGGTGACGGTTTTCCTCTTGGCGTGCTCGGTGTAGGTGACAGCGTCACGGATGACGTTCTCAAGGAAAACCTTGAGGACACCACGGGTCTCTTCGTAGATCAAACCAGAAATACGTTTGACTCCACCACGACGTGCCAAACGACGGATGGCGGGCTTGGTGATACCCTGGATGTTGTCACGCAAAACTTTACGATGACGCTTGGCGCCACCCTTTCCGAGACCTTTTCCTCCCTTGCCGCGTCCAGACATGATTCTTCGCTCGAATGAGAAGTAGAATCTGACTGGCACCCCGGTATTTTATACTCGCCCGGAGCACCGGCGCCGCCCTTCATCTGGCGAGGGTAGCCAATCCGAGGGGCACTCGACACAGCTGTTCGGCTCCGGAAGATTCAACGCGCTCGGCCCGGAGAAATCGATAGTCCATGATCAACGCGCGGGTAGGCTTTCAGGATAAATCGAGAATTGATCCGATGCAGATTACATACGCATTCGCTCCCGTCATAATTCCAAATGAAACCCTCCTATGCTGATTCCCGAGAGAGCGGCACGTTGGGGGGATTCTACGCCGTGATTCCCCTCCGAAAAGCAAGGCGAAATGTGGGAACCTTGCTCGCAATCGAAGTCTTTTCCTCCTGATGAACAGTCGTTCCAGATCGCAGACTCCCTAGGTTTCAGTCGCGGCTCGACGAGTTGGTGATCATCATCATCATGCCCGTCAATACTCTGCGACGGCTTTTCATCCTTTGGTGCTATTTGCAAGAGCACGGCAATTCCTCTCTCGGAACGACCATGGGACGTGAGGATGAGTATGCCTCACCGGTGAGTGGGAATGCTCTTTTATTAGGTTTCGTGAAGCCCATAAAAGGATGACTCCGAATGAGCGTGCGAGACTCGTTGGACTCGTAAGAACTGAAATTGTACGTCGCTGAAGGCATAAAAGAATTGAGTGTATCTCCAGGGCGTGTTTCCCCTCCCGTAGCGCTGCCTAGCCTGGAATTTCCGATTTCTCCAATTGAGCTGAGCGGATCTTGCTTAGCGAGCGTCGATCGAGGCGGCGCTTGCGCGGCGCTGCAGAGGGGCTAGTCCTCCTCTCTCTCGTCATATATAAGAGTGGTCGACTCAGAGCTCCGCAACCCTAGTTTCGGCGCGCATTCGTTCGCAATGGCTCGTACTAAGCAGACCGCTCGTAAATCCACCGGAGGAAAGGCTCCGCGTAAGCAGCTCGCCACCAAGGCTGCCCGCAAGTCCGCCCCGGCCACCGGTGGTGTCAAGAAGCCCCATCGTTACAGGCCCGGTACCGTCGCTCTTCGTGAGATCCGTCGTTACCAGAAGTCGACTGAGCTCCTGATCCGCAAGTTGCCTTTCCAGCGACTTGTTCGTGAGATCGCTCAGGACTTCAAGACCGATCTGCGTTTCCAGAGCTCAGCCGTCATGGCTCTTCAGGAGGCCTCAGAGGCTTACCTCGTCGGTCTGTTCGAAGACACCAACCTGTGCGCCATCCACGCCAAACGTGTCACCATCATGCCCAAGGACATCCAGCTGGCTCGTCGTATCCGCGGAGAGCGTGCTTAAGTCACACGTATCCGTGAGATAGAAAAAAACGGCCCTTCTCAGGGCCACCCAATTCTATGAGATCATGACTCCGTGGCTAAGGCGAAATATGCGTGCAACTTCCAGCAAGAATATAGGACACTATGCTGTCTGAGAACATGGGCGATTCGGGAGCTGATTCGTTCAGAGATATCCTATCTAGAATCCGACACATGGATTGGGACGCTACCCATTATTGACGAACGAAACAAAATAGATCAATGAGGAAGAATTCTCCATATCATGAATTTCATATTCATTTTCCACATGTTCCTAATACAGAGCGCTCTCCACACGCATCTGTAGCGACGACACCGTCGTGACGTCCCCGACGGCAAGCGGGAGCATTTTCACGAAACTGAATTACTTCTTCCTGGACCCGATCAGGCTCGGAGCGGGCTTGACAATTTTGTTTGTGAATAGCTCCTCCTCCAGATGAGGTGGATTGAGCCCATCTTGATCAGACTCTTCATGGAACTCATGAGAAGCGATTTCATTATCATTGATCTCGGTCAATTGGGTCCGCGGCGGAAGTAGAGCGCTAAATGCGTCGACGATTCCCCTGACCGAAGTGCGGATTCAGACTCTTGCCGTCTCACAATAAATACTCCTCCTAATGCCGGATGCGGATATACGTAAATTGATGTAAATTTTCCAGCAGACGGACAGTCCCTGATGTTCGGGCCGTCTCTCATGAATGGGCAGCACTCAGACGTTCGGAAAATACACGGATATGCCCTTCAATTGAAATATTTTCGGTGTTCAGGTATCGCTGCTCCAGATGCCTATCCGCCAGTGGATTTCGGGTTCGATTTCGATATTTCATTCTATTGCTCGAAAAATGAATCTGCGTGATGGTCGGCCCGTTGAGAGAACTTAGACTCAAGGCTTGGGAACAGTCGCTCTTGTTCATTTTGGTGGCCCTGAAAAGGGCCGTTTTTTCACATCGGAGGATGCAATTTACTTGGAAGAGGTGTACTTGGTGACAGCCTTGGTTCCTTCAGAGACGGCGTGCTTGGCCAACTCTCCGGGGAGAAGGAGCCTCACAGCGGTCTGGACTTCCCGAGAGGTGATGGTCGACCTCTTGTTGTAGTGGGACAGACGAGAAGCTTCGGCGGCAATACGCTCGAAAATGTCGTTCACGAACGAGTTCATGATAGACATGGCCTTCGAGGAGATACCGGTGTCGGGGTGGACTTGTTTCAACACCTTGTAGATGTAGATGGAGAAAGATTCCTTCCTCCTGCGCTTCTTCTTCTTCTTGTCCGTGGCACGGACGTTCTTTTGGGCCTTACCGGCCTTCTTCACGGCCTTTCCACTGGCTGCAGGCGGCATCGTTCGAAGCGACTTCAAACGAGAGTGAGGAGCACCACAAGAGCGTTCGTATTTCAATGTTCGGACTGGGGC